TATATTGTCATCAACGTAAAATTGTACACATCCTATTTAGCACCTCAGGTATAGGTATGGATGTACCCAAGGTGGTTAATTATTTATCAAATTCATTCATTTATATTGGGACTTATCTTGTGCTGCCTGGGGCAAAATAACCACACCCCCTTCAATATGTTTTATTAAAATTAATGCAATCTTCCATCGGATTTTAATCCCTTCAATACCCAAAGTAATATATTTTGCACTTTATATGGTTGTTCTCATTTGGATGAGTTATAAGTAGATTAGTGAATGCTATTTGGATATGTAGATTCCCTGCACTGATTGACTCGCATCTTCTTATTAGAATTAAAGGTTAGTTTTTATTACGTTAAGATTTTAATAAAAGTATGTTTTTGGAATTTAAAAAAAGGCAAAACTTTTTAAATGTTAAAATATACAAAGCTAAAATGTGTGTGTGTTTTATTAACAATTAAAAAAGCCATCAATTGTATTTATTAATTTTACTTTTTAAGAAGGGGAAAATACATTATCAGTTTTGTCACGCATGGTTATTAAATTTTTAGAAACCTAAGAGTTTTGTTGAAATAGGCTCTTTGCACTATGACGTCATTAGCGTGTTTATTTAGAATCTTTTATTTTTATTTCCCAATGTTAACAACGCACTAAAAGACGCAGTAAAAACAACTGATGTTTGGGTTTTCCCGATAAATGTGATTACGGCGTAATTCTTTGATCATGATTTTATTATTTTTTAAAATAGTTTTTCATTACCTTAAAACACATATAAAATGCTTAAAATAGTTCCTTAGTTGATTCTTTAAATGTATTTGTAATTTATAATAATAATAATTAAACTTTTACTAAAATAAAAATGGTTTAAAAATATTTGTTGTGCATTTAAATTTATTCGATTTCCATACAATAACGGGTACCCGGTAATAAAAAATAGATATGATTGTTTTTAGGAATCCGAACGTACTTAAATCCTATCGGATCTTTGGCGTTATTTCACTATAGATCATTCTTATGTATGGGAACATAGTAACTGGGTTTCAAACACTTGGTCCAGACAACATTAAAAGCGTACCACTATTGCATCGTAATCTACCCACAGTATTAATCTGGGGCAGCCATTCTTGCAACGACTCCGAGGTCTACATTCGGGTGACGACATGTACTGTTAGACTACCATTTGGATTTTAAAGAGAATTTCTTTTACACTTAATGTACAACGCTGTTTCTTTAAATATTGTGATAAATAGGTTATGCACACGTTCTTTTATCTCTCTCTCCCTCTATCAAACTCCGTTTTCCTCCATCTCTATCTCTCCCGCTCAGTATCTCTTAATCTTTCTCTCTACATCTTCTCTCTGTCTCTCTCTTTCACCCTCTTTCTCTCTCAGCCTCTCTTACTTCGGCTCTCTCTCTCTCTATTATCTCTCTCTCTCTTCTCTCTATCTCTATCTGTATCTCACTCTCTCTTTAAAAAAAAATCAATAAAGTAATCAATAAAAAATGCTTTGCTCGATCATTAATCCCTGAAGGAAATAATACTTTTGCTTGAAAATTTTACAAGTTTAAGACATTAATTAATTAATGAAGGGCGTATTGCGTCATAACCTACCCTCCGTCTCAATGTGGGGCAGCCACTCTTGGAAAGACTCGTTAATACATTAAATTTTATTAATTTTTTGTTTGTTTGGTTTAATGAAAATACTAAGGTTACTAAATCAATGCCATATAATGTTTTGATTAAAGCGGGAAAAACAACATAAAGTCACATTACTCCATCTTGACATGGATTATTTACCTTTTCAATGTCCATGAGAATATGTCCATGAGAATGTGTCCATGAGAATATATAACAATGACTCAGACTGGATTGTTAATATACTTTGGTCGAAGCTTGTTAAAAACTGTAAGTTTGATTAAGCTGGCCAGCCAGACCCTCACAAAAAACCTGCAGCCGGCTCAGCAAAGATATTCATCCAGTCTAGGTACCCAAATCCAAATGTGTGATATTATTTAACTTTTTTATTGTGCATATTCCGGACGTTTTTTTTTATATGTAGAAGTTTACGTATGATGGCAACATAGCGTTTCGCAAAGATAGAGTTAAAATTGTTTTGCCAAACTTCGCCCACGGAAAATTGATCGAGGGAAATTTGTTCGAAAGGAAATTTTTTTTCAATCTTTTTTTTTTTTTACACCTTAAAATTTTGGTGAAATTTCTCTTTGAACGCACCATACTATATGGTAAAACAAAGAAGTTCCGAACAACTGGAAGTAAGTTTTCTATTGTTTTGCCAAACTTCGCCCACGGAAAATTGATCGAGGGAAATTTGTTCGAAAGGAAATTTTTTTTCAATCTTTTTTTTTTTTTTTTACACCTTAAAATTTTGGTGAAATTTCTCTTTGAACGCACCATACTATATGGTAAAACAAAGAAGGTCCGAACAACTGGAAGTAAGTTTTCGACATATGATCAGAAGCGGCGAGTACGATATTTTAATCCAATACCATAAGCCATTTACAAGATTAACCATTAATATAAGATCTTGAGATATATCGAGCGTCGCGATATTTCATAGATTCAAGTAAATTGCAATCGGATAAAGGCATCCGTTACTATTTTATTTAAAACTGTTTAAAAATGACAATTTATTATTTTATTTTTTTATTTTAAAATTGTTTAATCGTTGTTGTTACTCCGGGGGGGGGGGGGCACTTGACTTTCCCTCGTGAGGCATTTGCCTTTCCTGGGGTTGGATAATGCATACCGTAGTGATGCCTGAAAGGAACCATCATCACAACGTATCAACCTCGTGTAAAGAGAAAACAAATCAACAAAACGATGATACGTTAACTGTCGTTAAGAAGATGCAGGGTTTAAATGTAAGAGAGGACTTAGTAGGGTAAACTGTCTGTCTTTGGAGGGTAATTGGGGGAAAAACTGTTATTTTATAATGTGGGATTGGATGAATGGTTGATTTTCTTGAGGTTCATGGCGACTTCAAACAATGCCCGGGAAGAAGCGTACGCATGATGTCAACCTCCACTTCTCGTTTCATAAAAAAAAACAATGATATATTATTGTAAAACATACACACACACATATATATATATATAAATCGTTTAAGATGTCTTTCGCGTACGACTAAGTAGGTGTTACATTGAAACTAGGCCTACTAATGAACTGATTAAACAAAAAACATTGATATCTTATGTAAAGAATGTTTTATGTCAGACACTGAGTCACAAAAATACATAGGCGCAGCTGGTGAATATTGACGAGGGTAAGTAAGACATAATGAGTTAGAGAGAATCGGAACAGAGAAAAACCACAGTGAGTGGCGGACAAAATTTATCAATATATACAAAATATAGATAATTCGTTACTTAGTTAGTTAGATATATAAATATATATATTTATATAGAGAGAGAAATATAGATACGTAATAAGATAGATAGATAATAGATAGAATGATAGATGGATAGATAGATAAATAGATAGTTCAATCGATAGATAGATAATAGATGAGATATCAAAAGATAGGTAGATGATAGATGAATTGATAGATATATAGATAGATAGATATATAGATAGATAGATAGATAGATAGATAGATAGATAGATAGATAGATAGATAGATAGATAGATAGATAGATAGATAGATAGATAGATAGATAGATAGATAGATAGATAGATAGATAGATAGATAGATAGATAGATAGATAGATAGATAGATAGATAGATAGATAGATAGAAGAGAGATAAACAGAAAGAAATTTCCTTGTATGTTCTTTTATCTACATTATGCACCCACACAAGGGAATTCAAACTACACGCCCTTACAATTAATAAATTTACTTCCAGTTTCGGAATCATGTAATGCGCAATCACTGAAAAGATAATTGACATTAATCGTCGCTCAGTCTGTCAGTTATACATATAACAACTATTATAGGTAAATACGAATGTGAAAATACTGTTTGATATGAAATGACACTAACTTTGAAAAAGTGTTAAGTTTACTTTGGATACATCGTATCTTAATTCTGAAATGGATTGGAGCTCTTATACTTTTTTTTTTAATTTATGAAATAATTGACAGAATTTCGAAACGCTATTGAACTAAACTTTATAAAATGTAATTATTGGCATTAAGGTCCATCTGAAGTTCTAGCCTGGTTTAGCGAGAAGAAAAAAAAAGTTTCAATTATTTAAGATTTTAAAATATAAATCGTGTATTGGCAATTTTATTGAAAATATTGAATCAACTATGACTGCAGAATAGGGGACCAGTGAAATGATTACTATTTCACGCATGATTTTCTTTCCATTAACGAGTGGTTTATTTTGTAATTGATCAATCAATAACGTGATAACCAAAACGAATCTTGTTCATCAATTTGTTTGCGATAGCGTGAAAGATGTATGTAGTTTCCCTTTTGTGAATACAAAATAGATGCGTTTACGGTAGTATTTGTTAGAGAAAAAAGCGCGCTTTTTAAGGGATAATACATTATATCTACCATTGTTCAACATTATCCTTTTTTAGAGAATCATTTATTTTGTTGCCATCATAACGTCTTCTTGGTTTTATAATCATTATTACTTTAAATACATTTTAAAAATTAAACGCTTAGTGCAAATTCAGTCATAATGATAAGTGTCTGATACTTAAGTTTCAAGTCGCACATCATTAAACATGCCTTTTAAGTCCATTTCACTTATCGAAATTGACCCCGATTACATTTATGACACTGGACGTAAATAGCAAAATAATGTACCTCTAATTGTACACTAATACCACAACTTTTCTTACTATCTTTAAAATTATGTCGCCCATAGCATGTCATTACGACAACTTGAAAAACCCAATTTTGCCAAGTGATCTACTCAATTACACCAAGCAAGAGTACCACCGTATAACAAGCAGTTGAATTAAGTTTGATAAAACTTTAACCTGCTACACTGCATCGATTAGACGATCAAAGTGTGTGCCTATCCATTTATCCTCTGTAGTGAGGAGTATCCAAAATTAATATTTTCTCTTTGTGCCAACAGCTATTTCATCTGACACGCTTGTTTAACAGATTTAAAAAACAAAATAGCCGTTAGCATGTAAACACTAATTGAGAAATCATGTATGTTATTTCTGTGGGTTCTTGGAGATTGATTAACGTGAGTCATGTTATGATAAAAATTATAACTTAAAAATGGCTCCAGGAAAGAAACGACTTGGTTCTATCTGTATAGCTCCCGGACTAATGCGGATATCTATCCAAATGCTGGACTCTTTATGACACTCTTCACTGGACTTAAACATGGTCCCGAGGAGTCGTCGTCACCTTAAAGACTTCAAAGTTGAACACATATTTTTTTAACTTTAAAAAAAATGTAGATTTACTGTTAGAACATTTTTTTAAGTTAATAAAATTAATCTATTATTAAGGTGTATATTCTTTCTTGTGGGGGTTGTGGAGCAGGTGAGCTTTTCTTTGGAGATTTTGTGTTTGGAATATATCTCCTTGTCGCACTTTTTCCCATCTGCTCTCTTCTCATTAACGAATAGAATGGTCATTATAAAAGTAACTGCTGTGATGACCTCAGAATAGAGAGTTATTCAGTTATCTGATTAATTTTCTCGTAAGGATGTACACAAAGCAGACGTTTGTTCATATTTTAACAAAGTGTTCCAATAAAATGATCAACATTTTCATTAAAATTAAATATGTATTCTGTAACATGAAGTCTTTTTTTTTTTTTAAATTTAAAATGTATTCTTTAAAATTTAATTTATTTTCCCATTAACCTATTTACATAATAATTTAAGCCTACACTATAAGTTTTAATTCCACTGGTTTTTTAAACAGATCTTATAAATGCAGCAATAATTAGTTACACTTTGTGTGTTTAATAGTGGGAAAACCCAAATATAAAAAAAAAAGAAAAAAAAAAGAAAGAAAGATCTTCACCGTTGATACCATGAGGCCATTTTATACACTAAAGTCGAAATCACGGTATTGGACTCTTCCATTACAAAGTTTAGCAGGATGTAACGTTTAGAACAGTGGTTCTCAACCTTCCTAATGCTGCGACCCTTAATTACAGTTCCTCATGTTGTGATGATGACCCCCCCCCCCCAAACCACAATATTATTTTCATTGCTACTTCACAACTGTAGGTTATATGTGTTTTCTGATGGTATTAGGTGATCCATGTGAAAGGGTCGTTCGACCACTAAAGGGGTCGTGACTGGACACAGGTTAAGAACCGTTGGTTTAGAATGAGAAAGCGTTTTAATAATATTTGAGAGAAAAAAATGGGAATCGAGACTATATGAGACAGGAGTTAATTGCCTGTCCTACTAGAGCTATTAACTGTAGATAATATTGTTTAGTTTAGGCCTGCACAACTTAAAATGTAAGGTGTACCTTAATCATTAATGAAAAACGTGTAGTTGTCAAAATAAAATAGGACAATGGGGAATGCTATTAATTGTAATAATAAAGAATATTCTTTGCTTTGCAGACCACGTTATTTTGAATTAAGTTTTTATTATGTATAAATAAACATGTATTATTATTATTATTTTTTTACAATAAAATACATTTATTACATTCTTCTCATTACTATTTTTAACGATAGTACGTATCACTTTAAGACTTCTATCAACGAATTATCATTTAAATTTAACACATCATAGCGCCATTGTGAGAATATCAAAGTCCTTTCAAGGAAGCTTTAGTTGCAGGAAATGTGATGGTCAGATTTCCTTCTGTTGTTTTCACTGTGGCATAAACTGTATTATGTGAGCCAAAGCGGCATATTTTTCATTTGATCAAAAGATAAATTTAACTACCTAGGAATGAGGGAAAATTTGATGGGGGCTTGAAAACATCGGTATACATTTTGTGTTGTCAGTTTGTTTGTTTCAAATTTTTATGTGATTTTTTTTTTTTTAGATGGCAGGTATTCAAATGTAACGCAAGAATGTCCTTTAATATAAATTGTATTGACCGGAGTAAGCAAGATTGATTGGATGTATAGTATTTTCGGAAAAGCATTTTTATTTTAAAAAGCAAGTGATAATTACATAATATTTCTTTTGACTATCAAGCATACAAACCTGGTATTTATACAAACCTGAAAAATTGAAACGCGTTATGTTTTATGTGATTCTTAGTACACAGCAGACATTGAGAGTCTAGGAAGACAATGAGTTTTAGATACAGTAGTTTTGTTATTCCTTTGGGATTCTACACCTAGACAAAGATTGCAGCGCTTATGCCTTGTTAAATATTTACAGATACGTTAAAAATATAAGACAGAGACTTAATTTAAGTTTTGTATGTTAAAGATATTCATTATTTAAGCCCGTAAAGCTGGCGGAAAAGAAATGATTACGTTAAGAAGATTTTGAGTTAGAAATCCATGTCGTCTAAATATATTAATGACTTATGTTAGAAATCCGTGTCGTCTAAATATATTAATGACTTATGTAAAAATGTAATTGTGTACTTATTTGTAAAAATATGTGTCATAAATACTAAGTGTTTTCATTTATCGGCAATACCTTTATGTGCTCTGAAAGGTTCAGGCGATGAACATTTTGAAGAGACAGTTCGTTTAAACAAAAAGCAAGATGCCACCACCATTTTCTGCAGATGAAAGCTCTCAACTGCAATCACCTGAACACAGTTTACCAGCACAAGGCTGTAGAAGTGACCAGGCATCAGATTATTACTTTACCTGGAAGTGTAAATTTGATTTATCTCCTCACAGCAGTGTGAGATTTTGCATTACACACCCTGAAGGGATGGCAGAGATTGCAAACGTTGCTTTTAAAACTGGCATTCTTCAACTTGAATTTGAATACATATTTTCCACTAAGATAAAGAATATATATAATCCAAGTCAACCGGTCGTTGAATTAAACTCAGATGAAACACGTGTCTCTTCAGTTAGGTAAGATTTCCTTCACCACTGATATGCATCATTTAATTAAAAGCCGGGTTCCCCGTCGACCAACACGTTATTGCTGAACGATACAAATGTATCACATGTGTCTGAATCTGATTTATATAAACAGTAATTATGACAAACAAGTTTATTAGTTTATAATGAAATCACTTTTTTTTAAAGGGAATACGTTAGGTAATAAAAATCCGGCAAGAGATGTCAGTTTTCAACCTTTTTAATTAAATAAAACTTTATTTTATTTAAATACTACTTTAACTATGAACGTTAAATATTAATTTGACAATATATTTCAAAACAAAATAATACTTGTTTTTTTTTGTTAAATGTATTTCAGCGAACTTTTTAAAGGTACAGTGTCACCACCAGACAATGAGGATGAAGTAGCTCTAGATTTAAAACTCCATTTGTAAGTGCCAGCAAATAAATTAATAAAATATTTTTTTGTATTTATCATGCGTCGCATATTTATGTAAGAGTGACATTATAGTAAATAACAAACATATTGTGTCGCAATATTATAAAATGTAATAAATGATCTCTGACTTTAAAACCACACACGTTCAAAAGTAGTATTACATAAAATTTAATTTAAATGTTCATTGAATGATCTCATGTTACAACTGATGTTAATTTTTTCGCCCAAATTTTTAATATGAAAACCGACATACCATTCAAATTAAAATTTAGCGCTAAGCATTACCTTTTAACGTTTTGCGGCAAAGTAATTGGATTTTTTTCAAAGATAATTTTTTTTGTACTTAGGCTAGTTCTTTAAACGAAAATGTGTTATAATATCTTATCAAAATACTTGACATAATTGCTTTTTACAGTTTCAGAAAAATCCCAGATAATTTTTATGTTAAATTTCCTGCCGATCCGTTTCCAACTGCTTGCAATTATCATCCATTTGTGACATTAATGGAAAAATGGATAAGCAACCATGGTGAATATTTCATTACATAACTATGTATAAGTATTTCGTGTAATCTTTGGTTAACTCTACATTTTTGTCCGTTATTCAAGTATACATTCAGGCATTATGAATGTTCTATTATAATTGTTGGAAATATAAATATCTTAGGCCGTTTTTACTTTCTTTAGAGATGAAAGCATAATCAAGAATCAACGTTGTCTTAACTAGAATAATGACACAGATCTTAACTAACTCATCAGCTGAAACATAAGTTATGCCCTGCGCCCCTTGTAAAATAAAAAATAATTTTAAGCAATATTTTGTTAACCTGATTACCTCTTTACCTATTAGATCTGTGTTTTTTTCCCCTAAAGAATAGTCTTGTCAAATATATCTGGTAGAATTCGCAAATTCAAAGCGCAAATGTATTAAGAAACAATGTATACAGTATATTATCGTCACTGAGTTCTAAATTATTTATTATGTTGGAAAGGAAATGATGGGGCATTTAATTTTGAGTGAAATTTTGATATCACTTTTATTATATGTGACTAAAAATTTTGTTCTCTATAGATGCCGGTACTGTAACTGTATCCTAGTTATACATTTCTCTTATGTAACCCACGTAAAAGTAGATTTGAGGCTATGTGTGTCAGTATCCCTACACTTGCCTTTTCGAAACGTTCCCATCTATACAGCGCTTTGTTTTTGTTTAAGCGGAATGAAATTCTGTAGATAATTTGTTTGATTATTTTAAAATAATGTAGGATTGCTGCTTCGAAATGAATAACTGAACAAAATGTTCTATTTGAATTTTTAAATAAAACATAAATATAAATCTAATTTAGCGTATATTGTATGTGAAAATAATTATTTTCTTGGTTTTGCTCAATACCTCCAGCGTTCTGGAAACGTGAATGCCCAGAACAAGAAACAATCAGAAAGAATTACATGTACCTTATTGAAGAGCTTTGCGAAAGTCAACTTGTTCCGTACTTATTCCAAGAAAATGTTCTCAGCTTTGCAGACAAAGGTGACGTTGATGATGAGCCGAAAAGGCAACGAAAGATTGAGATGATATTAGACAAAGTAATGAGAGGATGCCCCCAAGCATTTCCCAAATTTCTCCAGGCATTGGAAGAGGGATACCAACATGTTGCCGAAATGTTAAGGAAAAATCTTCGCTCATTAAAAGAAAATGCCGTGCCGTCGATCACTTTATAACTATAAAATGTAACACAATTTTGATATTATTTGTCTATGATTTATTCATTGTTAAGCTCTGAGTTATAATAAATGTTCATGTCAGAATGTATTTGATATTGTTTAATGAGTATGGAAAGTAAACAATATAAATAAATGACAAATATGTATTTAAAATATTGTATCTGATCAAATGTTTTTCTGTGACTAAAGGAAGCCCGGGAGATTTTCTCCAAAATGCATCAGTTTGAAGAAACACAATGAAGTATATGAACACGCAAAGTGTGTCTCTGGGGATCACGTCATTCAGACCCTTAACTATCAAAATTGATCTACATATTTAAAAGCTTATTGATACCTTTCATAAAATTCCATTACGCAAAATGTAGCTTTAAATTAATGAAATAATGCTATGGATTCAGACAAACGTTTTACATTTGCTCTAGAAGGAGAAGAAAAAACATCAGATCGATATAGACAATTTAGCACTAAGAAAGTTTGAGTACGTGCTTACCTATTGTGACTCACAACTGATCTCTTTGGTCAGGTTAACTCTTTCCTAAAACCCCAAAACCTCCCCTTCCAGAAAATGAACATACGTTATTCACTTGGACATTTAAAACTAAAAAAAAAATGTTTACCGAAATTTATCTTTCTACGTTGATATCTTAGAGATGGGGAAAGCTAGTTAAATGATAGGAAAATATTCTACAAGATCAAAGATGTGCACAACCGCAGGACTATGAAGTATTTTTTTAAACTGTTAGATAAGATCTTTTTGTCCATTTAATGACAAATTATTAGTATGAGATGACTTAACTGACTGTCACGGAGGTCGCCAGACAATATGCCAGAGCTCTCTTGAGCTTTTCAGATTCTTAAAACTGTCTATTTATTATTACTACCTTTTAATGGTCAATACAATGGGACATCTTCATTTAAAAAAAATAGTGATTCACTCAATAGATGCCAGTGGCTAAATTAACATTTTAAATTAAACGATCTTTTCATTTTTTAAACTAAATTATTAAAAATTTTAACGTTATTTGTATTTCGTATTTTTTTATTGTGGTCATTTCCTACCTTTGATTATTAGTTAAATATCTCACTTACATTAATATCTTGTAACTTTTAATTGTGGCTTGTAAAATATATACATTTTAACGAACCGTATACAATTTAGTATATTGAATATTTAAAATAAATTTATACAGAAAAAAATTAACAACAAAAAGAAATTGTCATTTATCCGTAGTGCTTTATTGTGGACGGATTTCGCTTATAATTCTGAAATAGAAAATGAAAAATAAGGCTGAAATATAATTAATTTTATAAGAGTGGTAAGTCAATGATCAAGTTAATGCCCTCTCCCGACCCCACATATTCCCCAAAATCAATTATGTCCCCTCACGCGTTTAGACAATGTACATAATATTTGTGGTGCTCAAATTAACTTGTTTATGCAATTTCAATTATTAGTCTAAAATTGTGAATACAATTTAGATCATTTAGAAAATCTTGTATAAGATCAAATTTATGCACATCCACATTAAATTAATGTGGATTTTTTTTTTTTTTTTTTTTTTTTTTTTTAATTTTTATTTTATTTTTTTTTTTTTTTTTTTTTTTTTTTTTTGTAAATGTTAGATAATGCCTATTTGTCAATTGAATAACAAACTATCGATATGTAAAGCAAAACTTAGTGACACGGAGACCACCAATGTCTCAGTGTCAATATGCCAGTGCTCTCTTGAAGTTTTCAGGAAATTTGTTTCTTAAAAATTGCATCAGTATTTTATAATTACTACATTTAATGGTCAGTACATGGTGACTAAATTACACCCTTCATTTCGTAAAATTATTGATTCATTCAGTAGTTGCCAGCGACTAAATTAACCTATTGAAATTCAACAATTTAAATTATTTAACGTTAAGGTTTTTTGTAAAAAAATTTTTTGTTCTGGTTATTTCCTACCAATGGCTATCAGTTGAATAATTCCACTGACATTAGCACCATATAGCTTTTAATCGTGGCTTGTAAAAATATACATTTTAATGTACCGTATACAATACATTATATTAAGCCTTTTAAAAAATCGTACGAAACAAACAATAACAACAAAACAAATTGTCCTTTTTCCGTAGTGCTATATTGTAGACGGGTTTCGCTTAGAATTCTGAAACGAAAAATGCACACAAAAAAAGCTGAAATATAATTAATTATAAAGAGTGATAAGTCAATTAAAGTCAAGCATTCCCCCCACCCCTATAGCCCCAAAGCGCAAGTCTGTCCCCGCACGAAGTGCGACGGCGAACATATATTTTTGACGCTCACTATCATTCTAAATGCAATCTAAATTGATAGTCTAAAATCGTTTAATAATGTATAGAAAATTTTCAGTATAAACAATTTAGAAACGGCTGATATCCCATTTAAATATTTGGGACATAATCGCAAAAGTTAACAGGTAACGGTATCTTTCTTAATTCGTAGCTTTAAATACGAAAATGAGAACTTTTTCATTGTTATTAATCTTTTTTTGTATTTTATACATAGAAGTAGAAGGTACATTTATTTTGAATTACAGTTGAATATGTTAATGAAAATAGTATAATAGAACTTTGATCGTTTTTAAAATTCCGTTTTGTTGTAAAGAAATTCATTATTTTATCTAAAATGCAATAAAATTTCCTTATTCAGCTTTGAATATAATTGTGTATTTATATTCCAAACTTTACTTAATTTTCTCAGTATGTACACATATTTGAATAACCTAGACTAAAATCAGTTGAATAAAGAAATATATTGCTAATTTCAAATCTTCCTATTACTTTTACAGTAATAGAATTTAAAATTCCTTTAACATGATTTTTTTTCTAACTTTGTATCTTTTTTGTGTGATTTTTCAAACAATTAAACGAAATGGACGTTTTGTCTCAGTTGATATTTTGCAAAAGTGTGGTCAATTTTTTTTACATTACAATTTTTTTAAAGAAAAAGTTTTTGTGATAACACTGAAATATTTTTGGTATAAGCTCAATGAATAAATGGCTTTAAGTGAAGAGATTTAAAAGTTCTAACTTAAATTTATGTTATTTTGGAGGATATAAGACATTAAAAATCGATATGCAAACTAACACTACATTCAAGTACAATTTTTGTTCTAAAGTATGATTTAAAACTTCCATTACAGATTTTAAATTTTATTTGTTAGATGTTAGGCATTTTACATTAAGTCTCAGACTTTGATCTATGCACAGGTTCTTAACCAGCTATGCCTGAAACCCCAGGATTTGTGATGTGCAGTGCCAGGATGTGCTGGAGGACACACAAATTTTTTGAGCTAAAATACATATAATGCCCTATAATATATGATAAATTGAAAAATGTATCCCTAAAATTTAAATTTTATTAGTTTACGACAGAAAACAATTATGTACTAACAACAATAACAACATCAAATGAGAATTATATACTTTAACAATCACTTTCTATTAATTTTGGTTTGAGAATGAGAAAGGGCTGTTTAAAAAAAATGTGTAGTTAAGAAGGTAATTAGTAAGAAGTTCTGAGGATCCCAATGTTATGGGCATGTGTAAGAATGTACAAAATAAAAAAAAATATCATTATAGTTAAAGTTAATAATAAAGATTACAAATTATATTATGTATCAATTATGCCTAACATAAATATCAATTTAGAAATATTATTTTGTATATAACTAAGCAGGATTTTTCCAAAAGAAAATATAATGAATCAATCTGGCACTGGTCAATCTTTCAATTTAAAATCTTGTACACCAATCCACCAAACTTATAATTTGGCAAATTCTGCTATATAAGACTATAATAGTCATAGAGTCTATAATATTACTTACGTAATTTGGCACCTCTTCTTGAATGTATCAATTACAATAACATTGTAATTTATAATATCAAGTCTCAAGATACAACAAAAAAAAGTAAACTAATAATATTATAGAAACTTAATCCACAATATTTTTAGAACACATAAATGTAATTTTTATATACTCCTACTAGTAACTACTAATGCTAATACTACTAATGGTATCATCTGATATTTTTATAATTTCATTATCATTCAAGTACTATGTTAAATGAGTAAGTAGGCCTAAGCGTCATTAAACCATGACTTACTAGCTAAAACTTACTACTACATCTTCTGAAGTAATCTTAATTACAATTTAATCTTAGTATTTTAGGCTACTAATAATCTAATAATTTTTAGTTCTGGTACTAATTGAAGTAACTTACTGGGTGAACAGTTACATATTTCTCCTCAATTGTCATGCACTCTGTGGTCAGATTCTATGCAAATTAAGTTCCTACTATTATGATAGCTAACAATAAACTTTTGTAGAAAAATTATAAACAGTAATATATTATTACCGAATTAGAAACAGTTTCAGTTCGAATTCTAAAATGCAAAGTGCATGTCTAATACAGCTTAAATATGAAATAACAAGGCAAATACACTTACCTGGTTTTTATAATTAATTCATATTTTTATTCGTTGTAAATTGTTATTGAAGCAGACGAAATATATAATAATATGCACGCCCATCCCCAATAAAGTTTTCAACGTGACCCTCGATACAAAATATTTGCCCACCCCTGTGCTAATGGTATTTTATTATTTACTACCTTCTATTTTTAAATGTAAACATTATTCAAATTATTAATCGGGTTAATTTATTGTGATCAATAGACGGTGACCAACTTACTGCTTCATTTTTTTTTTTTTAAAGTAATGATTCAATGAGTAAATTCTAGCGGGTAAATATACACATTTTAAATTTGACAAACCTTTCATTGTTATTAATTAAAGTCTAACGTGTTTTTATTTTCTTGGTCATTGTTGTTTTCTCCCCATGTTTAATAGTTGTGCGTCTCCACAGACATATACATCTGTAATAATAATTGTGCTTTGTAAATATATACAATTTAACATATACTCTTCATTTGATTGGAACTTTTAAAAACCCTTCTGTTACTAAAAATGGCTAGAAAATCAAATAGTTTTTTTTTTTTGGTCTTGCTTTGCCTCTTATCAGAAAAAGGAATCTTTTGAATTTCTGGTCCAAATTAAAGTGTAATGTGATACAAGATACTAGTGTTTGTTTTATAACGTCTTTGGAGACATAGATCCTTATACTGGCGTCATCTTGTTATAACATCTTTGAAGACATGTATCCTTTAATCTGAGAGACATCTCGGTCACTGCAGACCTAATCGGATTTTTCTTTAGCGTCTGGCTCTTTTAGCGAAGTGCAGTCTCTGATGAAACGCTCTTAAGATGGAAAAAAAAATGTCGACTGTTATCCATTTTTTTTTCTCTGGAAAAAGACTTCTCTGATAAGCAGCTATCAACTGTAACAACAATGATTTTCGTCTCTGGTGACCGTCTGTTTGGTTTCTGTCAATCTGATACTATCATCCTTTGGGAAAACCTGGAAAAATTAAAGTGATAACAATTTGTTTTTTTCAATATTGATATTTTCAACCCCAGCATTTATCCTCAAAAGCTTAGTTTTTTTGATTGAATAAATATTATGGACATTACAGAACTAATCCTTGTGTAGCTATTTCTTTTTTACGCATTTAAAAACAAATAAGTGGGCATTTTCATTTAGATATTTTAATTTTAATACAAAAATCTTAATATTTTGAAAGGGCACATATAAATAAATACCAAAATCTGAACTTTTTGATTTGAACCCTTATTTTCAAAAAAGAAAATGTGAACCTTCTGATTGGACACTTATCTCTTAATAAGTAAATGTTAACCTTTTTATTGGATACTTATATTTCATTTGAGCATTTTCATTGGAATAAATGTATTTAATATTTCTAACATAGATGTGGTTTGGTAGAAAGTTGAATTTTTAACTGGAAAGTGTACATAACACGGCTGGTAAAAAACAAGAACGAAGTACAGAAGCTCCTCATTCCTGCCGAAGACAATAGGGGACTGGAACAAGCTTCCAAAAGCAACAGTTGAGGCGGCTACACTCGATACATTTGTGTCTATTGCCTCCTGTATTCCAACCCCCAGTTCATAACACCACTGCTGAGTCGCCCTTGCAACCAGTGAAGTATCCCATTGAAACCCATGGACAGTAACATCGCAAACCTCTCTGAAACATAGGAGCCAGAATGATCAATTCATTGATCGTGGGCCCTTAAAATAAAGAAGAAGAAGAAGAAGAATATTTTTTTGAATTTTTACAATCCCCAAAATTGACTTTGTTGACAATAACGCTGCCTTGCTTGCTTAAAAATAAACTGCATTTATTGTATGTTTTATTTAAAATTAATTATTTTCAAAGCATCGATATGACGTGTTAATTTTTAAAAAAAAGTATTAAACAACCCATCTTTGAGAAACTGTCATTCATCTTTTGTGTATGATACGTTCAAATATTGGAGTTTAAACCTTTTCGTAGTGTGGACGTTAAAAAAGGAACATCTCAGTTTCATAGATTTTTTATCTAGCCATTTAGAATGAAAGTAAAACTATCAGGAATGAGCGTTACAAGATTTGTAAGGAAGTGTAGAGAATATTTGTGTATGACGAGCAGTGGACTGATCAAGTTTATGTAGGACACGTTTATATTGTGTCTCATCGATTTTTCTATATTAACTGTTCGTGCAAAAAAAAGTTCTAATTATATTTTTTATTAATTACTTTAAAAAGATACGATAAGAATGACTTGCTTTACAACCTCACAGACTTTATATCCTTACAATAAAATAAAACGTCGAATTAACGTTACCCTAATTTTCTTCTGGCACATTCCGAGAATCAGTTGGTGGAAAGCCTCTTTGACGCCTTGCCCTGTTTGAGCACTCGATTCCATCAAGCAGAGATTTTTGGACTCTGCAAACTGAGAAACAGTAAAGACTAGTGTATAACATAATTGTTCATGGTGTTGTGGGTCTGTGTGTTTTTGTGTTTTTTGGGGCGGTGTCCGGTACGTTTTGTTTTGTTGTTTTTTTAAATTTTTTTTGTTAGTGGTTGCAGGAGAAGTGTGATGTGAAAGTGGAATAGTTTATTTAAAAGGAATGTAAGTTTTATATATTTTTTTTTAAAATTAGGGTGTTATAATCTACTCATTCCAAAATTAAAGTGTCCTTGCGATTGAACTGAACTACAAGCAAAGGCATTAAATTTCGCAAGAAAAACAATACATTTATTTTAGAGTTATGAAGGATTTAGAATTCAACTTACCGACTCGGCGTAGTCCAATGGGACTTTCCTGTGGCTCTCTATGTCGCATTTATTTCCAACGATCACGACAAACGGGTCATATGAGTTAACCTTTTCGAGGCAATAAAAAGGAGAACATGAGTGAATAAAACATAGACATTAAAGATCAAACACAGTTGTCAAAAAATCAAAGACTGACATAAAAGATCAAACATAGATATGAAAGTAAACATGTATAAGATAGAGAGTTCAGTCTCAGTCCAGGTGGACAGGGTGAGGGGCAAAACCCACGGCAGAGTTCAGTCGAGGTGTTTGGCGGGTAGCAGATAAATTAAGATGTGGAACACAATGGATGTCAACGGAGCGGGGTAAACCCACAGTCGAAGACTGACCAAATAAATTAAGGCGAGGAATGCAGCGGGCAGGGATGAGGGGCAAAACCCACGGCAGAGTTCAGTCCAGGTGTTTGGCGCGTAGCAGATAAATTATCAAGACTTAAGAAGGTAGGGGGAGTAATCTCTAGCGACGCCTTGGTTGGCTGGTGGACCTATAAGAGGGGACGGTTAGATTGGAGAGGGATTAGGCAACGACAGAGAGCAGAGAGAGGTAGAGAACAGCGACGGTAGAGGAAGAGGGCAGTCAGAGTTGCGAGATGAGAGAAAGTAGAAGCGAAGTGTCAACTCAATAAAGAACACGATTTTAATCATCAGATGTTATCACCTGAGTTGTTTCCTTAGTGATTGCCAGATATAGATGAAAGTTAGCAGAGAGTAAGCAAGGTTTCCTTACAATGGTGGCAGCGGTGGGATGTTAACCTTGCAACGACTCTGAAGAGACAATATTTTTGGGTAGCCGGACTGAGATGAGAAGTGCAAGGCAAGGTGTGGAAAATCTATTGCAAGCACAATGACTTCCCAGTGTTTAAACAACATCCCAACGTACAGTGGAACCTCTACATGGCACACTTTTATCGTGCAGTTTGAAACAGCTGCAAAAATCGTCAAGTGGAGCGAGGAAGAGAAACTCCTTTATTTGGGGTTTGTTTTGAAGGATTCGGCGGCTGAATTCGCTTACAGTGAATTAAGTGAAGAAGAGCGAGAGACGTACGAGAAACTTAAAGATGCCCTCTCCAATCGGTTCCAGGATCATAGAACACCAGCTTGCTTCCAGAATCTGTTGGAGAAACGTACGTTCCTAAGAACAGAAACCAGTGCTGAGTACGCTACCGACATCAAGAAACTGGTAGCGAAAAGCTTTCCAATGGCAGACCAGGCCACACGAGATGCCATTGGATTTAAGCAGTTCCTACGTGGGCTGCCAGATCAGTCTGTGGTGACACAAGTTGGCACTATGGCTATGCCTGCCACAGTCGACAAGCCAAGATCTGCACTGGACCAGATATTAAATCTGAGAGACAACGTGTGTGTACCAAACCAGCAAGTAGCGTCAGTAGCTACCGACCACTTGGCCAGAGAGTTGAGCGGCCTTAGAGAGGACTTTAGGGCCTTCATCACCTCACAGAGAGGGGCAGTTAACGAGTCAGCTCGAGAAGAGGGAGGTTATCAGCAGGTGGAACCCAGGTGCTTCGAGTGTGATCGAATCGGTCACATTGCTCGTAATTGTCAAAACAGGAGCTTAGGAGGCGAAATTCCTGATCGGCTAAGATTGAATCACATTTCATCGAATGGTCGAGCCATTCGTCCTAGTGCTGTGTTTGTACCGGTTACAGTGTTTGGTGTTAGGGCGGAATTTCAAATGGACACGGGTGCGGCTGTGACCGTTATTTCAAAGAAAAGATTTTTTGAAATTCCTCGACGGCAGAGACGTAAGATTCATCTCTCACCTGTGAAGCTGCAGACAGCTACTGGAGCACCAATGAATCAATATGGGGTGAGTGACGTAAAATTATTGATTGGAGATAAAGTGTATCCCTGGACAGTGTATGTGGCAGACATTATGGAGGACGGTTACCTCGGTTTTGACTTTTTGGCTCATTATAAATTTTCCTACTCAGTCAGCCAAGGTCTAAGTTTGGGCTGTCACAATGTGCCCGTTTTGGCTAAATTGATGAGTGTACATTCTAAAAGGAATAAGAACTATTCTACGCCAGCAAAAAGTGTCAAAATTAAGCAGTTACCAGCACCAGCTAAAAGGGATCAGAATTATTCTAGTTCATCGACAAGTGTCAAAAATACGCAGTTACCGTCACCAGCCAGTGTAAGAGTGAACTCGGTCACTTCACACAAAAGACAGCTTGCAAGCAGGGCTCCTGCCCAGACCAACGTGTTTGTGCTACCCCGTCCTGAGATGGCCTCGCCGGCGACGAATCTCAGGAATGGGGGTAATAAATCAGTTCAGTTGTGTGGTGAGGTCAATTCCAAGTGTGAGAAAAGGGAGATAATTCGAGATAGGCCATTGACGAAACAGAAAAGTGACCCCGACGCTCGAGCAGTAAGGCGCTCTTTTAAGGTGGGTGATTTTGTCCAGTATTCAGACTCAACACACAAATTGAGTCGAAACCAGAAGGTGAACACAAATAAGTGGCGCGGTCCACTAGTGATCAGCCGAAAGCTACGTCATAATTTGTTTGAGATTAAGGGAGAAGGAAGGATGACTTTCAAAATTATTCACAATGAACGCCACTGTAGGCTGAAACATGACACTGACCCGCCAGATCGGAGCAATTTCAGGGCTTCCAAGAGTTCTGCAGGGAAAAAGTGCATGTGACCTTGACAATTTTGCCAAATATTGAATTTATTTAATTAATTTTATGGCATGATAGTCTTTAGATGGACATACAAGTAAGGGAAATAATGTGATTAAAAATTTCGTCGAGATACTTGTAGATTAGCTTGGAGAATTGTCATTATTTCATGACGATATTTTTGTAAAGAGTTTGATGCTTGATGCAATTTCATAGAATTTAGTTTCGTAGTGAAATTTGATGACATAACATTGAAGGGTTTGAGTTCGTTTCAGATGTATAATGACCACAAAAATTGCTCTTGAATTGAAAATTTTAATTGATTCTGATATGGGTGAAAAGATTTAAAGTTAACTAATGTTGTTTTATTTTATCTAGAGACATATGAACTCCAGAGTTGAATCGGTTATAAAAAGATAATGCTCTAATTATGGCATGATGATTGTTATTTCGAGTTGATGTTTTTAAATTTGAGGTATAAAATGTTTTGTGAATCCTAATGACATTAACAATAACATTGAAGGCTTTAAGTAGTTTTGGATGTATACCGACCACAATAATTGCTGTTGCTCTGAATTTTTATTCGATTCTGATATGATACTTGACAATTTTCATTTTATTGAATTTTTTTTTTTTGTTTATAATAGTTTTTAAATGTATATCTTAATGCTGTACTATTAATTAAGTTTCTAGATGATGTAGTATTCTTGATCTAGTTGTTGTACAACCATAATTGTTTGATTGTTGTGAATGTACTAGGCGCTCTGACTGACTAAAAACTGACTCTGCCCTTAACCACAACTGTTTAGGAGACCGCGTTAGGGGTGTCCGTTTAATTCAATTGTCGTATTCGAAGGTAGGGCTACCGTAGGATTGTTTACCCCAGGAGACGCATTAGAACCAAAGCGAATGACGTCACGTGTATTACTGTGAGCTGTTTGTAAATGAATGCTGAAGGTCCAAGTCACTTGAAGCCATTTAGAAACCAGTCATAAGAATTTTAACGGGGATGTTGTGTAATGTCGGGACGACATTGTTTTGTAAGATGGGGGTATTGTAGAGAGTTCAGTCTCAGTCCAGGTGGACAGGGTGAGGGGCAAAACCCACGGCAGAGTTCAGTCCAGGTGTTTGGCGGGTAGCAGATAAATTAAGACGTGGAACACAATGGATGTCAACGGAGCGGGGTAAACCCACAGTCGATGAGAGTTCAGTCTCAGTCCAGGTGGACAGGGTGAGGGGCAAAACCCACGGCAGAGTTCAGTCCAGGTGTTTGGCGGGTAGCAGATAAATTAAGACGTGGAACACAATGGATGTCAACGGAGCGGGGTAAACCCACAGTCGAAGACTGACCAAATAAATTAAGGCGAGGAATGCAGCGGGCAGGGATGAGGGGCAAAACCCACGGCAGAGTTCAGTCCAGGTGTTTGGCGCGTAGCAGATAAATTATCAAGACTTAAGAAGGTAGGGGGAGTAATCTCTAGCGACGCCTTGGTTGGCTGGTGGACCTATAAGAGGGGACGGTTAGATTGGAGAGGGATTAGGCAACGACAGAGAGCAGAGAGAGGTAGAGAACAGCGACGGTAGAGGAAGAGGGCAGTCAGAGTTGCGAGATGAGAGAAAGTAGAAGCGAAGTGTCAACTCAATAAAGAACACGATTTTAATCATCAGATGTTATCACCTGAGTTGTTCCTTAGTGATTGACAGATATAGATGAAAGTTAGCAGAGAGTAAGCAAGGTTTCCTTACAATATCAAGATTAAACATGGATATCAAACATATGAATCAAAGATCTAACATGAAAATCACTATCCGAAACATATACTTATCAAAGAAAGATCAAACATAGACATCAAAGCTCAAAGCTTAGTTAGCTAATTATAATTCTATATAAAAAAAAAATTGATCGTTGAACTAATCGTAAATTGATTTTAAGTTAATTTATTTTTAACAGTGCTATCATTCATTTGATTAAAACCAACGTTTTTCATCATTTTTACGTTTCATCAATGTTAAAATTAACATGTGTGTCAAAGGATTTTTTTACGCTCACATAATTTACTCCAAAGGCAAGTATGTAATTATATAATTATAACGCTCTCTTTACATTAGAAAAAATATTTATTATTATTTTGTGTTTGTGTGACCTAATTGACACTGGTTTTCAAAGACTTGGTCCACTACCATATTAAAAAAATGAAGTCCTACTACGTCATAATCTACCTACCATCTCAATCTGGGCCAGCCATTCTTGCAAAGACTCAAAGGTCGACTTTCGAGTGACGTCATATACTAGTAGAATACCCTGTGGATTTTTAAGAGAATTTATTTTAAATGTTCGTAGACCCGGTATAAAGCTCTATGTTAAAATATTATGATAAATATGTATCACATACTTTTTGCAAATCTTATCTTTCTCCCTCACTCTTGTCATCCCTCTCTCTTTCTCTCTCTACCTCTCAGTGAAAAATGGGTACAGCTTTCAGACGACGTTTGCCCATACTTCAATTTATATGTATATATTTATATGTATATATTTATAAGTATATATTTAAATGTATAATTATTGGTGTAAATACAAAGGTTGTTAAATAAATGTCACATTAGGTCGTGATTAAAGGGAAAGAAAGCGTAAATGCATTTTACTCCACCATGAAATCAATTATTTCCCTTTAAATATTAATGAAAATATTTAACAAGAACCCACAATGAACTGTCCTATATTTTAGATGAAACTCTACAAACTGTGAGATTGGTAAAAAGGAGGGTAGGGGAGGGCAAACACGTAAATCGAAACATTTTTTTCTGCTAATAATAGTTTTTATTTACCAAAATGCGAACCGAGAGAAAGTCAGATACAACTTTTGGCGAGGCAGGTCGGGCAGTTGGGTATAAATTAAAATGTAAAATGAATACCCATCAATGAACTCTTACATGAACATCCCTGTACAGACTCTTGACCACAGAATTCATTTTGTACTGGCCGGCTGAGTCGCTGAAATTTAAAACATAAGTAAAATCAATTCAAAAAAATAAATTTAGAATCTGAAACCGTTCTAGATGTTTTTAAAATCTTCAAAATTCTTCACAAAAGCGGCCAAGACGGCGCCACTGGTGCGAAAAAAAAAAGGAAGAGCCGGTGGCGTAGGAAGGCGAGCGTGGTTTAAGGGGTTAACTTTAGAATAAATTAAGAGTTGTTTAGTGAAAGGTGTGGTAGGATATGTGTCCCACCCTGGCAGCATTTACCCTAGCTACGTCACTGGAAAAAAGATGTCTTGTTTTCCTAACAGAAGCGTTGAAAACTCGCCTTATTCACTTCTAAAGTCAGCTGCTCCAACGTTTCTAAAAGCATTCACCTGTATTCTTTTTAAATTAGAATTTTATCAAGTGGACAAACCAAAAAAAAAAAAAAAAAGACAGGACGGGAAGTGTTCTGTGTGTTATTAAGTTGATGGTTATCTTTCGGAGAAGACATTTCAGTGAAATCAGTCTCATCTATTATCCGAGTGACTCTTTCAGATAAGATCGTCCGCGCATTGTTAGTTTCACTCGGGCGAATTTACGCCGACGTGTATGGCGTAAACATAGTTCAACATTATCAATCAAGCAAGTACGGTAACTTTGATGGAAAACAAAGAATCGTCTGTCGTCTGCTATTTGTATGTCGTTTGCTAGTAGTGTGTCGCTTGCTATTTATATGTCTTTTGATACTAGTATTTCACTTTTTTATTAGCATATCGCTTGCTCTTACTATGTCGTTTGCTTTTAGTATGTCGTTTGCTTTTAGTATGTCGTTTGCTTTTAGTATGTCGTTTGCTATTAGTATGTTGTTTGCTTTTAGTATGTCGTTTGCTATTAGTTTGTCGTTTGCTTTTAGTATGTCGTTTGCTTTTAGTATGTCGTTTGCTATTAGTATGTCGTTTGCTATTAGTTTGTCGTTTGCTTTTAGTATGTCGTTTGCTTTTAGTATGTCGTTTGCTATTAGTATGTCGTTTGCTATTAGTTTGTCGTTTGCTTTTAGTATGTCGTTTGCTTTTAGTATGTCGTTTGCTATTAGTATGTCGTTTGCTATTAGTTTGTCGTTTGCTTTTAGTATGTCGTTTGCTTTTAGTTTGTCGTTTGCTTTTAGTATGTCGTTTGCTATTAGTATGTCGTTTGCTATTAGTTTGTCGTTTGCTTTTAGTATGTCGTTTGCTATTAGTATGTCGTTTGCTAAAAGTGTGTCGTTTGCTATTAGTTTGTAGTTTGCTTTTAGTATGTCGTTTGCTATTAGTTTGTCGTTTGCTTTTAGTATGTCATTTGCTATTTGTATGTCGTTTGCTTTTAGTATGTCATTTGCTATTAGTTTGTCGTTTGCTATTAGTTTGTCGTTTGCTTTTAGTATGTCGTTTGCTATTAGTTTGTCGTTTGCTTTTAGTATGTCGTTTGCTATTAGTTTGTCGTTTGCTATTAGTTTGTCGTTTGCTTTTAGTATGTCGTTTGCTATTAGTTTGTCGTTTGCTTTTAGTATGTCGTTTGCTATTAGTTTGTCGTTTGCTTTTAGTATGTCGTTTGCTATTAGTTTGTCGTTTGCTTTTAGTATGTCGTTTGCTTTTAGTATGCCGTTTGCTATTAGTATGTCGTTTGCTTTTAGTGTGTCGTTTGCTTTTAGTATGTCGTTTGCTATTAGTATGTCGTTTGCTTTTAGTATGTCGTTTGCTTTTAGTATGTTGTTTGCTTTAAGTATGTCGTTTGCTATTAGTACGTCGTTTGCTAGTAGTGAGTCGTTTGCTATTAGTTTGTCGTTTGCTTTTAGTATGTCGTTTGCTATTAGTTTGTCGTTTGCTATTAGTATGTCGTTTGCTTTTAGTGTGTCGTTTGCTTTTAGTATGTCGTTTGCTATTAGTATGTCGTTTGCTTTTAGTATGTCGTTTGCTTTTAGTATGTTGTTTGCTTTAAGTATGTCGTTTGCTATTAGTACGTCGTTTGCTAGTAGTGAGTCGTTTGCTATTAGTTTGTCGTTTGCTTTTAGTATGTCGTTTGCTATTAGTTTGTCGTTTGCTTTTAGTATGTCGTTTGCTATTAGTTTGTCGTTTGCTATTAGTTTGTCGTTTGCTATTAGTATGTCGTTTGCTTTTAGTATGTCGTTTGCTTTTAGTATGTCGTTTGCTTTTAGTATGTCGTTTGCTATTAGTATGTTGTTTGCTTTTAGTATGTCGTTTGCTATTAGTTTGTCGTTTGCTATTAGTATGTCGTTTGCTTTTAGTGTGTCGTTTGCTTTTAGTATGTCGTTTGCTATTAGTATGTCGTTTGCTTTTAGTATGTCGTTTGCTTTTAGTATGTTGTTTGCTTTAAGTATGTCGTTTGCTATTAGTACGTCGTTTGCTAGTAGTGAGTCGTTTTTTACTAGAATGTCGTTTCCTATTATTATGTCGTTTGCTATTAGCATGTTCTTTTATTTTTAAAACTTATTTTTTGTACGCCTTGTTTAAAACAAAATACTGTAAGCATTGGTAAAACTAATTTTACTAAAGCTGAGTTTTAACTCACACGATAGATAGTTGAATTCTAACTCCGTCGATGTCGATGACCTTGGTGACCTCAACACCTTCTAAAAACAAATGAAACTTGTTAATTAAAGTAGGTAAACCACAAGATTTCTAGAAGGAAAGGATTTTATGCAGTTATGGACCCAATTTTTTAAAATCATTTACTAGCTGATTCGGATAAGCAATGGGACAAATTTATCGGACTTAAGGTTCATATTTTAAAGAGAGTATCTACAAACGAACAGATACGGATGTGCATATAATAATTTAAATAATCTTTATCGTTATTATCACTACTGGTACATTAAAAAATTTTGATTTTTAATTTAATTGTTTTTTTTCCGTGCAATGCCTTCTTGATTTAAATTATAAAAGCAATCATCTACGAACTCAACTTAGACCATCCTGCCTCTGTTAGTTCATTCTAAATTTTTCCTTGAAGATGCGCTAGTCATAATTACTTCTTACACGACTGCTTCATCCACTAGAATATATGTGGTCTAGCATTCCATGTTACTGGGTTGAAAAGCAATGGGACACGTCGTTCAGCATATACGTTTACAATACAATATCTTTGTACTAAGGTACAATAATATATCATAATACTAGTTTACAATACAATATCGTTATGCTGTTGTACAAAACAACATTTTCATACCAGTGTAAAATGCATCATAGTCATTCTGGAGTACAATACAACATGTTAGTCCTGGCATAGTACAACATCGTCATACTAGTGTATAATACAACAACGTTTTACTAGTATACGGTGCAACATCGTTATACTAGGTAGGGCTATTGTAAAAAAAATCAGTGCCATCCATTCACCTCAGATCTGCAAATAAGTGTAATTGAATGTGTACACTCACTTAGATTCTATAAATACATGTGGTTGAATGTGTACACTCACCTAGATTCTATAAATACATGTAGTTAATGTGTACACTCACCCCGAGTCTGCAAATACGTGTAGTTGAATGTGTACACTCACCTCGGGTCTGCAAATACGTGTAGTTGAATGTGTACACTCACCTAGTTCATATAAATACATGTAGTTGAATGTGTACACTCACCTCGGGTCTGTAAATACGTGTAATTGAAGATGTCCTTCGTGTATCGATTGAGTAGGGACGACTTCCCCACTTGTTTATCACCAAGAATGGCAAACTTTAACATAAATTGTTTGGACTTTTCTTCGTAGCCTTCTAACGTAGTCGCTCCCATGATGGTGTCGTGTCTTAAACTGCATTAAGCAATCAGAATTTTCTTTAAAAAGAGATAACTTATACGTTACATTAGATGATGGGCTGGAAACACATCTGATTCTTTATATTTAGCCCTAGATTCAATTGAATCATGTGTGGAAGTCTTATAAGTGTTAACAGAATGGATATAACTCATAACTGATAGGAAACCGAAGAAAAATATAGGGGCCACTGGTCTCTAGCTCTTCTTTTCACTTGCTCATTTGAACGGTCGATTTTTAACCTGATTTCGAGATTGCTATACATTGACACTAGCCACTGATTCATTTTTATAATTGTTTAATTGTTAGAAATCTCCACACACACAGCCCTATTTTACATTTTAGATCGATTGGGTGATTGATAAGCAAATGGTTCTATAATCGGAAAAATTCCTCCTTTCTCAAGGAAAACCCATTCATTAGGCTTGTAGTAGTTAGTGTTTCGGTGAATCTTACGTGGGTGTGTGTGCCACTATATTCGTTGCAGTTTTGTCATCATGTTAAGGGATTTTAATTGTTTGTGTATAAACGTGACTTAAGAATTATCAAATAACGATTAACTTTTCCTAGTAAGTAAAAGCTCTTTTTCTGTAAGCACTATACGTTACGCTCTAATTATTAAGTAGGCATTATTTAATAATTAACACATTTCAAAACTTCTCACAATTACTGTAATATTCGTTTGGTGTAAAAAGAATAAAGTTGGTTGGTAATCAATCAAAATTATAACACAGAGCGCTCACCCTTGTCTTTGTTAGTAAAAACCCTGAGTGTGGTGTCACAACGTTTACGTAACAGTTCCCTTTGAGAACCTGTACGATCTTATCCGTAGCAGAGATTGTGTAACAAATGGGCTGTGACAATCCAATACGTCTTGTTGTATAGCCTGCACTTATGGGGAAAACCCGAAAGGTGCGATTACACATAAGATATAGAGAGTGGGTGAAAGAAAGGGGCCAAAGTTTAAATGAGGCTAATTATAATTTTAATAAGGTAAGTCTTTGAGAGAAGCTAAAAACAAACAAACAAAAAAAAGCAACAAAGAATGATTTTTAATTTTGTCTAATGCACTCTTGTAAATTAAAATACGGACTTTTAAAGATTGCATTTTCCAACATTTTATTTAGATGTTGAACTGTGATCAAAACTCGTGAAGATAGTCTGACCTCTAGTGGGTGGAGACTAGGAGGAGGGTGAAGCTTCAATTACATGACTTATGTTTGGATATTCTTGAACTTTGACCTAGATCAAAGTCCTTTCCGTGGTAATATACATACAACGAGGGAACATCAGAGTTGTTATTTGAAAGGACGAGATTAAATGCTTAAAACTTACTATCATCTATTTCGTTAACTGTCCTCATATAGCAAATGTACAAACTAACAATGTGAGACGGCAAACAACCAGACACGTCCAAAAATGAAAAAAAGCCAAATGAAGCCCACCCAAACCAATTTCTTTCCACGCATGCGCACTCAAATCATTCAGTTATGAGACGAAAATAAATTCCTTTAATAGAATTCTAGTTGATTCACTATGAAGTCAGAGATGACATTCTGTCTCGAGAGTTTTTATCTTTTGAAGCATTTTGTTACACAAGAGATCAGCCTTTATTATCTAGCATTGCAGTGGGAAGAAAAAAAATGGTTTAAACAAAATTGATATACTTGGATATTAAAAGCTACAAAACTACAGTTTTGTATATTCAAAACTATTGTCTTTTTATTATTATCTTGGGGCTATAATATATTTATAGAGAAATTGAATGCTAGATTTCGATTCAGTGGACTGAGGACGATTACATGAACAAAATATGTTTGTTTTTTTCAAGTATCACACTTTTCAAATCAACAGGTGGCCATAAGGAGGAATTATTTCCTATACACATCTGCACTGTTATTTAATGTATTATATGCAAATGTAGGTTGTTGCAAGACTAAACTTTTACGTTTAGATTTCGATTCCATATCTTAAAACAGCCATTCATGCTTTCATAAACCGAGAAACGCCTTGATTTTGAAACACTCTATTTTAGAAAGTGTCTTTGAAAACCGTGTTTTACGAATTTGACCTCTTTTGACTACACGGACGGAATTTAATTGTACTGAATCTAATTACCACAACAAAACATAGTTTTTTAAGATATAAACAAACCCATATGAGAATAATAGAGACTTTAATTAAACAAATTACTGATTTTAAAAAGTGAGAGGTCAGTTTACAGAGAAGTCACCATTTACAATATTATATATTAAATAAATACATGTAGACACGTGTGAACTACATATTCAGCTAGATCTAAACGGCAAAGGACAAAGGGCAATCATTGGCTAAAGAGAAGACTGATATATTAAAAGTCGTAAAATGGAACGTAGGTGTCCTTGTTGTAGGAATGCGGTGTTTTTTGTCATAAATGGTGAGATCTCGGTAATTAGGAAAATTTCTCCAATTATGTGTCTGCATGCGTGCTAATTTTTTTCTCTTTCTTTAAGCCAAATGACATTAACACTCCATTATCTAACCTTATCCAAACAATCAGTTTATTCCAAGAAACAATCCAACAAGTTCTCATCAAGTCATACCATCCTTACCACTTACACATTTTTTTTTTTAAAGTGGCGTGCCCATAAATGGGTGTGAGACCTAAATAAACTTCATTTGCAATGTACGTAAAATATTTATCTTATACTTCCACTTGAAATAAATATATATCGCTTTATTCTGCCATAATTTAGGTATAAATATATGTATACAGTATAATATATAGATATATATCTCTCTCTATATATATAGATATATATAGATATATATAGATATATATATATATTGACCTATGGTTCCCTGTTTCATCATGTGCTAACTAATCGATGGCTTAAATCATCAACTTCGGATTTCTAAAAGCCTCAGCCTTTTAAAAGACACATTGTCAATATAAATGTCTGAGGTTTTTATGTGTTACAAAAGCGAAAATGGATAGTTTGAAAAGCTTTCTTGTACCATCATCTCATTACCAAAGGACATGTAAGTAGCAACAATTTTACATTAGATGAACTATCACTTTAATGTATTGACCCACACCTCCCCTTATGACCCGCCGCTGCCTGTGACCAGCTTATTCAGGACGAGCAGTGGGCGTAGAAATGTTTCAATATCTGGATGTAGGGCAAATCAAAGCTATGACAAGAGGCAACCATCACTGGAGTGAAGGGGAGATCAGTGACCGAGTTCGTGGGCGTCTAGGTATATAATAATCGCAGTGGGTCTCGACTCATGCAATGTAAACATTATTTTTTTGTTGTTTTTTTTTAGTGATTACTTTAGATTAGAGCAGCGGTTCTCAACCTTTATAATAACTTTAATACAGTTCCTCATGTTGTGGCGACCCTCAAACACAAAATTATTTTCGTTGATACTTCATAACCTTAGGGCATGTGTGTTTTCAGATGGTCTTAGGCGACCCCTGTGAAAGAGTCGTGCGACCCCCAAAGGGGTCGCGACCCACAGGTTGAGAACCGTTGAATTAGAGGTTTGGTTTAGATTTGTGTTCCAGTTAAAATTGATTGATAAATTTATATTAAAGGACAAATTTATTTTAATGGTCTCCTTTAAATAAGTTGTTGAGTGAATATTAGTGGTTTAGTTTAAATTGGTGGTTTAGTTTAAATTGGTGGTTTACAAAAGGTCAAACAAAAGTTCATAAGAGCGTCGCACATTTTTTTTTCTCTTCCAACTGAATTTAAAAAAAAAAAATTGAAAGAATTTTGACGCGTTTTTTTTAACGAAAATTAAATGGAAATCAAACATTTTAATTGATGAACATTGTGACGGTTAAATTGATTCATTAGCATGTGTGTGTGTTGTAAGGGGAAAAGTTATGGGATATATTAGAAACAAAAAAATAGTTGTATAGTTAGATACAAAAATAGTCTTAGATATAAATTGTGTTTAAAGACAATCACATCTGATATAGGCGTGAAAAAAAGTTGCGTGATTCTTCTTAAATAAAATAATTCTTTGTTTTATGATTTTCTGATAATATATAATTTTTAAAAAATGCAAAATGTGTTTAAATGTTGATGAAGATATCAATATATATCGAATTCCTGTAATAAAAATAATATTTATATCATATATGGAGTTGTTTTTTTTTTTGTTGTAAATTTAAGATTAGCTTTTTAAAAAAATTTGAGAGAAAATGTTGTAATTCAACGGCACGAAAAGGGGTAAATCTAAAGTATGTCTCTAGCGTAGTAATTGTCACTCAAGTAACTCATTTAGTGACAAAAGTGATATAATTAGTGATAATTTAGACTGTGTAATTTAAGGTCATGTTTAGAGGGGGAAAAGTAGTTTAGGTGCGTTGTTGGGTACAAGTATAATATCTAGCAGATAAATACTTCTCAAAACTTAATGATGTTAGAAACGTAAATATCATTACATTTTAAGAGTTATGAATTTGGATGAATTTTTGCAAGAGCAGTTAGAAATTATCGCAAAGGACCGACAATTATTATCCGATAACATCGGGTCATTTATTCTAGTCAATATATATTTAGATAATAATTACAAAATAAATGTTGAATTACAGGAAATAGCATAAATGGTACTGCATTTCAGCTGTTCATAAATGGTGATCTGAAGACATGAAAATTTGTCAATTTTGAAGTTTAAGTCTCTTACCTTCTTACAAACACACACACATAAACACACACACACAAACAAACACATACACACACAAACACACACACACAAACACACACACAAGCAAAAACATACACACACACAAACACAAACAAACACAGACAAACACACACACACAAACACACACACAAACACACACACAAAAACACACACACACAAACAAACACATACACACACAATCAAACACACACGCACACATACACATTATACACACACACAAAAACAAACACACACGCATAAAAACACACACTCAAACAAACACACAAACACACACAGACTAACATGCACGTGCACACACGCACACAAATAAACAAACACACAAACACGCACACACATAAACAGGCAGACACACCAAACACACATCACAAAAATAAATCTCTTGCTGTAGACTATTTTGACATTAGAGGAAATTAAAATGAAAGTTGTAAGAATTTTAACTAAGACATTATAAAGACATAATATGTGCTTTTTCTGTTTAATGTTTGTGATAATTTCTTAAGCTCCAATCAGAATTATTATTTTTTTCACTCTTAATACTCTAATGCACTGTTATATGCCGTGTTCTTTATTTATAAAGTTAAACACCATTAAAATGTATATATACATTTATAAATAATAAATACATAAAGTATCCCTTCGATCCCATTTGGTGGATCATAACATCCTGGCACTCTCATGAAGATGTCGGAACATAACAGTTTGTAAACCTGTACATGTTATTTCCAAAACAAATAATTGAACTTAATGAGGTAGCGTTAAAACGCCTTTTTTTCGTAGCTATTAAGGGGCATAAATACATGAAAAATTCCACCATCTGGACTGGCTGATAATTCGTCTATCTTAAAACCTTCGTTGCTGGGTTTTTTGTCACAATGTCATCATATCAACGTGTGATTTGTTGGTGATTATTGTATTTATTAAGCAACCTTTTACACTAATTTTTTTTTTTTTTAATTCCTAATGGAAGTAAGAGGAAAGTTTTTTTAATAGATTACTGTTTCTTGCAGCTGATCAGAAATTTCCAAGGACAACTCGTTTGAAATGTTCAAATTTTTTTCAAATGAATTTTCAATCACATATAAAAAAGTGTCTGGAAAGTCGAAGGCTGAAATCTTTAACCATCAGAAAAATATCGCTTTATAAGAAGATCCTATTACCAACGTCCACAAACGTGACCCATGTAAATTTGTGTAAACTGGTCAGAGACGGTCGGGTGCCCGTAGTGGTTTTCCGAAGCAATGGTGATCGGCCAGGTGAACATAAACATCACCCGGTCGCCCAGCCCTCGGAGAATCTCCTTCTGCATCTGCAAGAGAAAACCGCTCATCAACATGTACCTGTTAAATGCCGTGAACGCTGATTGGTAGACGACTATCACGTGAGGGTTTCTGGCCATCAGCCGCTCGATGGCCTTGCGTATCAGACGCAGCCAGTGCTCGGCGATGGACAAGTGAAACGGAACCAGGTGAAGGAAGTGGTGCAGGTGGACGAGGTACTTGCCGTCTGCTGGGATGGCGTCAAGCTGTGAGACGGATGAGTATAGGACGTGGTTGGGCAGGTCTTCACCCTGAAAACGTTGAATGAAAATCATTCTGTTCTAAACGTTGACAATACATCGTTCTGTAATTGTCATATATTAAAAAACTACATAGAATATCATAAAACGCTTTAGAAAGTATGTATTAGAATTTAAAACGTTTGAATGGAATATCAACTCATGTTGAATTACTTGTTTTTAAGAAACTTATCCTTGAAAGATGTATATGAAGGAACGAAAAAAATGAACAATATTTTTTAGAGAAAAGTAAAACTTTGTTGTTCTTGCTCTTCTATGAATTAAAATGAAACAATACTTGCTCTTTTTCAAATTAATTCATTTTTTCCTTAGGAGTATAGTCATAAAATTTTGACTCTCAACAGAAATTTGTTTAAGAAAATCAAAAACATTAGCTCATTTTCTTTCGCCGGCTCAACATCATAAAAATATCTCAACTACTCTTGGCTCCCGTGGGCGAGATAACAGGGATCGGTTGGATGGATGGGTGAACGTTTGAGGATCAGATCACTCCACGACATTGACTATTGGACACAATTACCCTCAAACTATCTGCGCCCACTCCCAATCTTATATCTCATGGGAAGATTTTTAATTATCTTATGTTTCCAGGAGGGACAATTACACGAGTGTGTTATGTTTCTTGTAGTGATATTACTTTTTAATGTATTTATCTCTGATCACTATGTTTACCACAGATCCATAGAATGGCATTTTGGGTGGATAATATTTGATGGATAGTCCCAGGTCTTCGACGTCACACCACAACGGGGCATGCCAGGTCACCTGTGAGCAGAGATAACGACTTTAGAGTAATCTGTCCTTTGAGGATAAATCCTTTATAAATACTTGTTCAAACTAGAAATGTAGAAATATACGGAAATCATCAAGGATATTAAGTGATATTTGTTTATATATAAATATATTTAATCTGTTCAGTCTAATCATAAATATTATATATAAGAAAAAAACAATATTCAAATTAAAGAATTGTTAAATTTTCCCGAGTTAATATATTGTTTACACAATTTTGTCACCGAAAATACGAAATGACTATTATTTGATATTAAATATCGAATATACCGAATCATTAAGAAAGCAAGGAACATAACACACACTTCACATGCTTCACTTGGAGAAGTATTTGTAGAGATATGCTATTATAAAACTAAACAAATTTTGGATGATGCATCACACTCTCTTCATCACAGATACTTAGGATCGGCCCGTTCGGGACGAACTCTTACTCTAAGGGCGAGGACTGAAAGATATACAAATTCTTTTGTTTCACAGCCTATATGAATTTATTAGCATGTTCCCTAAGTCACAAATCATAAGTCACAAATCTTAATGATAATTAATAAGTCCCTAAAGTGGCTAAGAGAATTCACTAAATGGCTGTTTTTTCAAGTGTGAAATAATTTAATGCACAAGTGTTATATTCTATTTTTTTTGTTTATGTTATGATAATGTAAAATGCAATAAAAAAAATCATTTCCATTTGTTTGACCAATAAAAGGATCTTATATCATCTTATTACAAAAAAAGATTGTGGCAATTACCTCATCTTTGGATTATTATCATTAACTTAAAAAGAAATATAATTTTGAAATTACAGGTGTCTGTTTATTAAATTTTGATTTTATATATTATTTTGTATTACAGATACTCCACTGAAACCATACCTCATTTTAACATGTAAATATGCCTTTTATCCCTCATTTTAAAATGAAAATATTCCTTTTTTTCTGAGAGGGTTGTTTCCTTTAAACTAGCTGCAATATTGTCTACACCCTTGTCTGCACCCACTGCCAGATGTCGTACATAGTGGTCTGATGGCGAAAGATCGCCAACCGTCTGACAGACGTACTGAACAATTCCAAATATTAAGCTGGATAAAAGTGTCCCGTCTCTAAAACTTCAAAAGAAGCGACCGTAAGGCACGGCGTTTCTTACAATTAGTGCGATCGTGACCGGCACAAACACACCCAGCTGAGTGAATTTAGAAAATTATTTCATTCAGACTTAGGGAACCTTCACACCACATGGCGTGAAAGTCATGTTTTCATTCACATGTTGAGCCTTGCCCCGCCTCTCCACTTCCCGAAATATCGCAGTCGAATAAATTCTGCCCCCCCCCAACACTTTTTTGCCTGTATTTAGTCTACGACTTACTTATCTTCTTTCAAAATTCTTTTGCTGCCCTTTCGGATTCTACTTTTCAGCTAAGTGAAATTTTAAAAATTTAATTCTGTTTTTTTATGCTGTTTCTTCGACTGATGAACCTACCTGCTGAAACCTTCGTTGGTTTGTTGCGTTCCATTTGTTTGATTTTCAATTACTTTAATTGGCTTATTTCCTTTTTTGCTAACCTGCTTGCAGTCTCTCCCCCTTATTTCCATTTTTATCTATAGTTATATTGCTTTAACACCACGTTAAAACGGTCATGCCCAAGTTGTGGTTAAATGTAAGCAAATGATATTATCTTAGAAATTACCCACCATAGTAATCCGTATTTTTATTAATATTTATGTAATAATCACATAAAAATTATCATAATATTTTTAACCTTACTTTTTTTAAAATAAATACTATTGCATGCTTTTTAAAATGGCTTTAATCTTGTCTTAACACATTGCTTAACATTTAACACGTTTTATTAACTTTTAATTACTTTTTTTTTTTCAAACCCAAAAATTTGCATTTTTTTAGAAAAAATGTAAATACAAGTTAAAAAAAGAAAGTGATGATCGAGCCATATATTCTATAATTTCCTGAAAATTGTTATAGGAACAATTTAAAATAAACATCTGTACTATGTATCTGTTGTTTTTTTTTTACATCTCAAGGGCAATAAAAATGGAGTAGGGGCAGTGATACGTTTATCTGAATATCGCAACACCAATTATTATTATGTTGCGGATTAAACTTTCGTGTAGATTTTAATTTGAAATAGATAAAAATTGTCAGGGAATATAGTGAACTATTTAAAAATTATTTATTTTTGGTTAATAAAAAAGAAAAGCACATTGTATGATCAAAAGTGGTTTGGGACCTTAGAACATTGATAGAGTTCAGGATAGGGAGAACAGAGTGTGACGGTGTTACTAATGGGGGCTACTTAATGACACTAAAAATGAACTATTTGGTCATAAAAGATAGTGCTGCGATTGTTTTATTTTAAATTTAGACTCGGGCAGCACAAAAAGAAGGAAGGGAAAAAAACGCCACAGAATAGGTCTGTGTATGTGACTGTTATAGCAATATCTCAACTTTCAAAGACACCAGAAATTGGTGCATAAAAGAGTTTTTTTTGCCTAATGAAAAAGGGTATTTAACTTCATACAGCAAATACATTTCAGTTCGAGGAAAGAGGATGTGTACATTTTTTATTGGAATTACAATATATTTAAATCCAATAATATAACAGTCTTAAAAAAAAAAAAAGTTGTAGAATTTTGTTCAAAATAAATAAATTCATGTTACAGCAATTTCGGAAAATATAATTCCGGGGCCTTGACACATTGTGGACACATTTACATAATTTTCTTTGAAACTAAGGACAGCATCATATCTTTAATATATCCAATAAATATATAAATATTTTCTTAGACACTTCTTTAAAAAGAATCGAGGACTAATATAATATTTTCTAAATATACATTTTAAGTGATTTAAATTCTTTGTTAGTTGTTTTTTTTTTTTTTTAAAGGCACAAAACAAAAATTTTCGAGTTTAAGAATTAAATATTTTCTTAGACACTTCTTTAAAAAGAATCGAGGACTAATATAATATTTTCTAAATATACATTTTAAGTGATTTAAATTCTTTGTTAGTTGTTTTTTTTTTTTTAAAGGCACAAAACAGAAATTTTCGAGTTTAAGAAGTTGAGATTTCGCAAAAGGAGAGTATTGTGAATTGACCTCTACTGTTACACCGGTAAAAACTGGTTCATATTTTTCCCGTGTTATAACATTGACTTAAAAACCATTTTTTTTCTCTCATAGATTGGGTTTCAAAATAAAACTCAGCCATATGGGTTGTACCTGTGTTCTATTTACTTTTTCAGTACAATTAACCATTTTGGTGATAATGTCCATCTGATTTCTAGAGTTTGAGTCTCCGATGATAATCATCTGTTGAACACAAGCAAAAATGATATTATTGAATCGTTCATCCAATCAAAACATTTTCAAAAAAATAAAAAATAAAGATGTTTATAATTGGAAGAAAGGGCCTGGGGGGGGGGGGCACTCTTTTATGTTTTGATTATTTTATAAAAAAAAAGCTATTGCAATAATCTCAAAATGAACTTTAAATTATTGCTCATCTCATTTTATGACAAAGAGCGGTTGTTGTTAAAGATTTCATTAGTTTTAACTCAAGCTTTTCTAAAAACCAGAAGGGGCCACACGTGACGAATGAGATCATCTAATAAGTGACACATCTTAAGTTGGGCGTTGAACTATTCCAGCGGCGAAGCTACGGTCAAACATTTTGTGGTTCTGCACTTGGACGAAAATGGCGCAAATTAATATAAGGAAAACACATTGCCGCCCTTGCGCACTTCCGTCGACGACGCCACCCCGGCCTATTAACTAACCAGTACTGTTCAAACATTTTTGTTGATCACAGGTACGATGATGTGTCAATCATGAATCAGGGGTTTTAGCTTACGCTGGGTGAGTCAGGTTATACTAGGAGAATTAGTTTATGCTGGGGGAGGGGGGGGATCATTATATTATTATTATTATTACTATTGGTCTTATATAGCGCGGTACACCAGCCTAGAACTGGGCTCAAGGAGCTGTACATACAATATTAGCAAATATATTCATGACATTGCAAAAACAACATACATTAGTTTTAATTTTTTTTAAAACAGCCACATACCAACAAAACAAAAACAAATCTAAATTCACGCAACCCACCCCAGAACGTTTACATGTCAAGCCAAGGATTTCGATTGTGCTGGAGGGGAAAGTATATCATCGACGATTAGATTATACTGGAAATTTATATATCATTGCTGGGTGTTAGATAATGCTGAGGAACGCTAATCATTTAGATAATGCTGGCAAAGTTAGATTTCCCTAAGGGTTATATTACCCTTGGGTTGGGGTTGGGGGGGGGGATAAATTATGGAGTTAAACTAAATTTTCCTGGGGGGGGGAGGGGTAAATTTATATATCATTGCTGGGTGTTAGATAATGCTGAGGAACGCTAATCATTTAGATAATGCTGGCAAAGTTAGATTTCCCTAGGGGTTATATTACCCTTGGGTTGGGGTTGGGGGGGGGGATAAATTATGGAGTTAAACTAAATTTTCCTGGGGGGGGGAGGGGAGGGGTAAATTGTGCTTAGGAAACCATTTTGCTGGGAGAGTTAGAATATGCTGGAGCGATTGAACTCATGAGCTGTTTTCAGCTAGTGGCAGTCATAAGTTTTTGAACACAAATGTAGACCTTGCCTTATTTAAAATCAATGAATCGGATTATGTTGTTAAAATACCTAGGACAAAGTCACTGACCTGTGTATTATTTAAACACTTCCTAAGGAACTCCTTTTCAACTCGTGGGAGTTGGCAGGCTAGTGGCATCCACGTTTTATTGTAGAAGAAACCGGAAGAGCTGACGTCATCAAAGGTCAGCGAAAGGTTTCGTTTGTCGCAAAGAACGTCAGGTTGTGGGAAAACCTTTTTGTCTGTTTCACCTAAATTAAAAGAGGAATTAATTGTTTATTTAAACTTCTTAAAGGACAAGAATATTTCTTAATTATTTAAATAATTACTTCGAATTTTTCTAAATATTATATAAACCTAAAAATACTAATTGACCTACATTTATAAAGCATTAAAATAAAAGCTAATCAGATCTATTAAAATAATTTGAATATAAAATTTAAAGCTTAAGTCTAAAATTGCAAATTCCATTAATAATTTTTTTTTTCTGTGTATGAACTATTTTTAATGACTGCTAAAAAGCACGATTTCAATTATAATTTTTCATGAACAAAATAGTTTAGGTTTATAAAGTATGGTGGATAATAAATGTATTTATTATTAAACACATGACCGGAGGATTGTCTGGCACACGGAGAACGAGATTAGCCGACAGCTCGTGAGATTTCGTGTTAACCAATCAACATATATATGACACAATTAATGATGCAAAAATACCTGGCAAAACAATGATTGTTATGTTGTTGGCAATCATGAACGGACTTTTCCTGGAGATAGTCAAAACAAATTATACTAAAAAAGAAAAATTATTCAGCCCTTTTTTTTTTACTGTACATTGTTTATCAAATTGTTACGTAATATAATCAGGTTCAGCTAATTAAAAAAAAAAGTTTTGAGTAGAAAAGAATTACTGAAAAGTTACGCATCTCTTTTAAAACTATTATATCACATTTCCCTTTATTATTTATAGACAAGCGCGTTTTGGAGGGGGGGGGGAGAAGAAGTTTCTAAAACGGAACATTCAGTCTGGACGTGCACGACAACATGTGGATATCTTTTTCAAAACCTTACAGTACAGTACGTTTAAGAGAAGCTGAGCCTAGAAGATGCCCCGCTAAGAGAAAGAACATCTAATTGTTTTAGACACTTACAAAAACTAAAGTGGAAAGAACTCAACAATCAAAAGATACGACTTGACAGTAAAACATAATGGGGACAGTCAATAAAAGCTATAAATTGGGAGATGTAAAAAAAAATCCTTCTTTATCTTCTTATTTAAAAATTATATACATAGTAATAGTTAATGTTTAAGAAAAAATAGGTTTAATTATTTTTTTATTATTTATTTTTTTTTTTTTTGAGATCCAGGGATACGATTTCTTTAGCAATTTGAACAAAGTAAATGTCATCAAATGACAAACAAAGACCTGGCATGGAGCTAAACAGAAAATCGTATAAAAGGGAGCGACTCACGTTTCTAACATCACAATCAATTCCTCTTCAGCCTCGGTGAGTGGGTAATAACTTGTGGAATTCAGTTTTTTTGACGATACGAAGTCAGAGCACTGTAGGGGGGACAAACACACAAAGGCCGGAATAAAAGAAAAAAAAAATACAATGTGTTTTATATTTAAAATCAGAAACTTTTCGATCTGAAATAAATATTTAAAATAATTATGGAAAATGATCATTTTTAGATTCTATCATATTTATAAAGGATTCGTTTTTATACAGTTGTTTATAATATTTTAATGTTGTTTATTTCAGTCTCCGTTTATGATAAATTTTAATATAATTTTGTTGTGCAGGACACACCATAAAAGAACACACAAAAACAAAACAAACAAAAAAAAAAAAAGGTCTTTTACGTTCAGAAGATCCTTTTTGACTGGTTTTCCGCAGAACCAAGGAAAGCCGTTCACGTCCGTCAGGTTGCACACTTCCGGCTCAGGAAATCCTGGGAGAAACGGAAGTGGAGAACACGGAGTCGTCTCCGAGCCTGCGTTGCTCTTAAATGTTGACGTGAACCAGTAGGTTGTTTTGAATAACCGCTATGGAAAGGAATTTTTAGATTTTTTGTTTGAAATGTAAATAGTATGCAAGAAATAAGGTGAATTTTCCAATCTTGTTGGGAGAGTACCGCATTTATTTCTTCAGTGTCCAGCACTCCATGATATACCTCTATTATCTACCACTATTTCAAGACTACTTTGACACACTATGCTAATGTGTTAGAGTAACAATGAAGATGATTCCCTTGAAATTGCCGCTTTAAATTAATTCCATTTAAGCCTACGTTCACAATTTTGATATGGGAAGTGTGCGCTCAGCCGTTGTGGGCGTTTTGATGAATTTTATCAGCTTTTTTGCAGACAAGACAGAGTTAAGCTTAAGGGTGTCTTTACCTAAAGTAGGAGGATAAATTTGTATCCCAATGTATACATTTTTTTTTTAAAAATTGAGAATTAATATTTTAATCAGTTTGGTTCCCTTTCCAAACGTTTATCTTGATCCTGGCCCATTATGAAAAACAAACACATAAAGCTCATCTATTTGTTGCTGCTTTTAATTGATGGATTGGGGTTGCATTCTCTATGTTGTATTGTTAGAAAATTATCATTTATCAATTCAGACTTGATTTTACGTAACTGCTACAACTTACTTGAATGTAAAGGTTTGCTCTGAACAGCTCCCTGTGGTAGGCGATGGCGGCCCGGATTCGGACGCTCCCGGTCCAGGGCAAGATGGTGGACGCCGTGTAGCTGCCATCTTTGTTGTCTACGACGTCAGCCGCGATGGACGCCCCGAGTTCTGTAGTGACCAGCCAGACCCACACGCTGTCTCCTCCTTTTGTTTTAGAGTTGATGTGAACGCAGATAAAGAGAGCGGCCTTGTCGATCAAAAAGTGTAATGGACCCCAACTCATGCTTTACTTGTACCGCTGTAAATTTATCCCCCCCCCTCCCCCGCTATGCATATGTAAAATCTGTCAGCCTTACCCTCTTAAAAATGTTTCAAAACTATCACTATATAGGTAAGTTGTTCCTATGCGCTTAGTGTCTCAAGTATCATTTCTAAAAAAATCCTTAGTGGCATTTGTTTTAAAGTGTCTTTGAAGACCTACCGATTGTTTTTCTTTCTAGCACCTTAAATTTAACTTCTGATCCCAATGTCAGTGAACCGTCGCTGGTATCGGTCAGCAGGTCTATGACTGACCTATCAGCCGAAGCAATATCTGACAAGTTGTACAGAGGTGGTAGGGACAGCAGTTCTCGTTCCCATGGATACAGTTCGGCTCGAGGCGCTGGTGCCATGAGCTCCGTGTGATTGAAAGCACAGCACCTGGTTGGAATATGGATTATAAGGAATTGTTAAGAATAATGTTGAAATTTAATTATGAAACTTTGTTCTAGTAAAGATTTATATGTAATCTTCTTCTTCTTTTTTTTTTTTTTGTTTAAAAAAAAATCTTTTTTTCTTTTCTAATTTTTTCTTTGGCCGATGATTACAACAGCAAATATTCATTTTATATTTTTTGTTTCATCATTTTTTGGTTTTCAGCCTAAAAATATAAACAATTATTTAATAGTTTTCTCTAGTCAAGAGCAAAGGTAAGGGGTGGGAGCACGAGGCTGCTGTCTTAATTTAACCTAACGTCTTCTTATTATGAACATATTTCTCTTTAAAACTATTATAATTTTGAATTGAATGCAAAAAAAGAAATTTTGAAAAAATATTTCTTGAAATAGGGGTATAAACAGTCCAGTCGGGATTACAAAAAAGTGTTTTCCCCTATTTTCTTATAATTTTATTATATATTCTTATTAAAAAAAAAAAAAAGCTTTTAAATTTCTATATGACTGTTTGTAGATATATCAAGTGATCATCGAAAGTTTAGATGAAGTTGGTTAACAGGTTAACTTAAAGAAAACCGTTAAGCCTCTGTATTAGCAGCTACTTCAAATTCAGAAAAAAAAAAAAAAATTAAATTTGCACCGTGACGTACTGTGACGCCAGGTTTATCCGTTTAAAATCCTCATCGTCCGTCCAGGAGCCATCACTGACTGACCTCCAGTAACTCGAAGAGCTGGCGTGGACATCTCGGCATGCGCTGATTTGTGAACGCGTCAACTCTTTACATCTGAGTCTCAAAATATACGCAAATAGGTGCATTTTTTTCTCTTTTGCTGCGTGGATGGCATGAGACAGTTGCTGTGTGGGTGGCTGTGGTTTTGGCTGTCTACATGGCTGTGTGGAAGGCATGTGATATTGGCTGTGTCGGTGGCTGTGGTTTTGGCTGTTTAGATGTGTGGAAGGCATGTGATATTGGCTGTGTTGGTGGCTGTGGTTTTGGCTGTCTACGTGGCTGTGTGGAAGGCATGTGATATTGGCTGTGTGGGTGGCTGTGATTTGGCTGTCTACATGACTGTGTGGAAGGCATGTAATATTGGCTGTGTGGGTGGCTGTGATTTTGGCTGTCTACCTGGCTGTGTGGAAGGCATGGGATATTGGCTGTGTGTGTAGCTGTGGTTTTGGCTGTCTACATGGCTGTGGGGTTAGGTGTCGTTGTCTTGTGTACAATGTTTAATTGCATTGATAGCATTATAATAAATCAGCATAAAACTAACGAAGTGCATTTGTTAAACATATAATTCTAGTAACATTTGGTTGATGTACCTGAATGGCTTAAAAAGAATTGAGACGTGATAATCCATATGTGAGTATATCTACCGTATCACCTAACCAACCTGTTAATTTTTTTCTCAATCTCTGCTTGTGTTATACCTGTGTCAACCAAGGACGGCCAGGCTTGAAATTCATAACTGTTCCCTGAGAGAAATGTGGGCTTAAATTCAAACAATCTCTGATTCTCTGAAGTAATTAAAAAAAAATTGTTTTCATAAGGTGGGCAACAAATCTTCATTGGGTCTATGTCAAAGAACCATTTTATTTAACCTATAATTTTTTTTATTTATTTAAATGCATAATCTGAAAACACACAATTTACGAAAAAAAAATAAAATAAATGTATATCCCATTTGGATGTGGATCTAACCTACCATTATCAACTGTGTTTTACAAGGCCAATATCAAGTGGTAAAGAATTTTGATAATCAAACAAATTGATTTCGCTGTTCCAAGCTTTTTACCACAATCTGCTTAAAATGAACAATTGAGGAAATATTATAGATAGAAAAGGTCTTTTTTTTATTAATCCGTTTGTAGATTTGTCTGAGAAATCATGTTCTCATTGTTAAACTACGTAAAATTGCTAGTGTATTCATATACTTTCCGTGCAGTAACATGATAGCATTATTATAAACTAAATATATACAAACCACAATAACAATATACAATATAAATTCTTTTCTAATCACATACAGGTTTTTTTAAATATAATTTTGGGTGAGCCGCATAAATAAGGAATGGACTATAATTTATACAACCATTAGTTCCATGTTGTTACGTACCAGTCTAAGTGTAGAGAATTTAATCTTTAAATTGACTATATGGCTCGTGACAAAACAATACATAACAAAGGGATGATACCATTAATTAAACAAAGTAATAAAGAAAGAAACTGACACTAATGCTAATTATAAATAATAATTCATTAAGTTGAATTTAAAATTTAAAAAAAAAGATAAATAATTAATAAGTCTATTCACTTACAGAACTGCAATGAACTGGTAATGGTACAATGTTGGGAAGGTACATACACATACAATAACATGAATATACAAATCTACGATCAGTACGGTATGTCAGTCTGTTAGTCTCGCTTCCGACTCGTATTGTAATCTCTTTGTCTCGCAGTCTCCATCTAGCTCTCTCACCTCCCGATCGGGCCTTTTTTATAGTCTTTCATATGGACTCTTCCTGACAGACATTACGCATTGTATGTTTACCTCAGCCTGTCTCTTAACTTCTAAAGAATTCGACTTTAAGACTGTATTTACGTGTAGTCAATGGAGACAATTTATAATTAAGTCACATCCCATCGTGTGGCCCAACATGGGGTCAAACCAACTTCACGATACACGATTTAGACAAGACGTCTACATAACAATATTTACCAGCCATTACATCAAGATTTGCTGAAAATTATAGATGGTTTTCAATTGGGTTTCTATTCACTGTAATCACTAATAAAACTTGTCTAGGTATTTTTGTAAGGCTATATCGCTATTATCAATGAGCGTGCAAAATAAATTTCTTGGAAAGTTGCAGTAACTAGAAATATCATAAAGTACTTTATTGGAATGCATGTTTTGTCAAGTAACTTAAGTAGATGGTACGTTCACGTATTGCCACTGCTATTGTTTTGCGGATTATTTATAGTTTAAACATTAAAAAAATATGTATATTTTAATTGAATTCATTAAGTAAACCAGTTTTCTCGATATCAACACCAAGTTATGGTCGTGAATAACGCCTTACAAAAGTAATGGGGGACACCCACTCACCAAAAGGAAGTTTTAAATTTATGATAAGCTCTAATTTATTATTGGTCGTTCGCAAAACAAAAGCATTTGTATTAATTATGGGTGGTAGGATGCTAATAAGAAATAAAAGTAAATATTTCAATCCAATATTGCGGTGCAAGGTTGCAATAGAGTTAATGGTAGGATGACGAAGGCACCAAAGGAAATGTAGGGCAAACTATGTTCATTCCATCAAAATGTGAGCGATTCCGACGGCAATTATAGCAATTGTGAATAACGATATGTTTGCTTCGCACCGATTTTGACGACCTACTATACCATTTGTTTTTAAGGCCTTATTTTTCATGATTTCATTTCATTGTCTCAGAAATCTACGTCACACACCTAGCTAACCTAGACGCAGCCTTCGTCATGCGGCCATGTATCAAATTGTGTCACACTATCCTTATACGCTCTCAGTCCATGTACAGGGTGTATATCTGGTTGGTACTTGGGACGTCATTCAGAGAATAAATGAAATGTTTACCTACCTACCTGCCTACCTACCTACCTACCTACCTATCTACCTACCTAACTTACTACCTTCCTACATACCTACCTACCTACCAACATACCTATCTACCTACCTACCTACCTACTGACCGACCTACCAACCTACCGACCGAACAAACTACTTACCTAACTAACTACTTACCTACCTACCTACCTACCTACCTACCTACTATGTCGACATTTAGTGCTCAATAATAAAATTATTTCCATATCCGCTTTTTCCCTTAAATTAATTAAAGTATAAACAAAAAATTCTCACCTACCATTCGTGGTGGAGATCATATGGAAGTCAAGCGTGTTGTAATACCTGCTAAAAAGAAAAGAGAATAATCTAGATCGGTGGTTGTTATCATAAAATTTGCGGAGTCGAATAGAACAACTTGGGCTTATATGACTCCATATTGAAAATGCACAGAGTACCTAAAAATTCACAAGAATTATGTGTAATGTAGGTAAAGAAGAAATTTTTAATGATTTAAAGAAAACCACTCACTTTAGAAGATTTATTAAAATTACTAATGGATTATAAACAAATATAAAACATAAAATATAAAATGAAGACCAAAATTACAGCATTCAGAGGTCACCAATGCATGCTCTACAAAAAACTACTGAAAAGAAAATTAAAAAATTGATGACAGTACATTCAAATAGTGACAACAAAGACTTTAAAAATCTAATAATTCAAAATGGTCATGGTAGTACATTGGCTGGACAAATGAGAATAAAAAAAGTATTTCATTAGAAGTTTACAAAATTTTGATTGACATGGACTTCTGAAAGCTTTAAAATCCTACATAGGAAGATGCAAAACCTGTTTGACTAAAATACAATACATGGCAATCATAGGGTTCCTATTCAATCAGCTGACAAGTTAGGGAGAAACTTTGAAAAGGTAGCAATAGACATTTTTGGCCCCATAATCATACCATCATTAAAAGGTCACATATTTATCTTGACATTATGGCATCAAGGTGGCCAGAAGCAGTGCCATGAAAATACATTGATTCCGAGACCATTTGTATATAACTTTTAGAAACTTTTATTAAATGAAAAAAAATAACATCTTTCAAGACAGAATATTATCAGACATTGGACGATGATTCATCTTAACTATGACTTATGCTGTCACTAAACTACTTGGAACTACCCAGGTTCACGTGACATTTTACATGCCACAAGCCAGTAGCATGAGTGAACGGTGGAAAAAACCCTAATTATTATGCTTGCGAAGGCAACGGAAGAACATCCAAGAGATTGGAATCAGCATCTTCCCTCGGTACTTTTCCACATTCAGAGAAAGCATACAAGAATCGACCGGCTTTTCAAAATTTGAACTATTGTTTGGGGCAAACCCAAGACGCCCATTAACAATTAAAACAAAACAAAAATTAGACAATAACATTACATTTCAATATTAATTTGAGGTAATAACAAAACTTAGGGTAAAAAAGTCAATGGACTAAAAAAAGGCCCAAGAAAACACAAAAAGTGATGAAGAAGAAGAAACAAAACGAAAACACATAGAAGAAATTTGAAAGTAAAAGATGAAGTATAAGTTTGGTTGCCAAACAGAAAGGGAGAAACAATTTGGAACGGATCATTTGAAGTAAATACAAACAAGAAACAAGGTCGGCTATGTGATAGATATCGCTGGTGAACTAAAGGTCTTACACATAGAATTTTTAAAGAAAATATGACAATTACCCTAAAAGTTTACCACTGTCATAGAGGACATCACCACAACAATTGAAGAGTCGGAGAATGAAATCATTGCTAGTGTTATGCAAGTTCAACAAGAAAGTAACCAGTTTCTTTCAGACATTTTCCCCCCGGTTGTGCGCTTACAATTTTAGGGAGGGCTGTGCCATTTGCCAGTGGTCAGACACGTAGCTAAGGGGTGGCAGATGGGGCATATGTCCCAGACGCCATACCAGCACCGGCATGGGCTTTGGCGGCATTTAATGGTTGAAAATAATCAGTTTCAGAGTTGAGAAAGAGGGTGTAACAAATACATCTTGCAAAACACTGTAAATACGCCCCTGCTAGTGGCGTCGAAATAGGGCGGGTGGGTGGTCCATTGAGAAGTCACTTTCCTCTATATGCTGGTGTGGCATTTCGGACAACTGCATAGTTTGTATCGTGAAAGGAAGGACGGAAAAAAATATTTTCCCGTTCATGGCGGCTGTACAAGTCGCGCAACTAGGCAGTGTATCTATAGATACCAATATCGGCGATCATTTTCATCTGGAAGGAGGGCGGAAATTGAGGCCACTGATGAATCTTAATCGACGGATAATTTCAAAATCACTAGGTGTATTTTTAAATAAACTTGATTTCAATGTTTCTATTATACTTTTTGAACTGGAAAGGACATATTTTAGGTCTTCTGGGCGTCTTTGCCATCCATAAACTGAATACACTCGTCTTGTGTTGCGAGCTGCGGTTTGACGACTACTGTCATATTAAAACTTTATATTCCACAGAACATGTTTATAAATTAAAAATACAAGAAACCATTTTATAACATATCTGAATTTAGTTTTGCAACCCTCTACACCTAATTGGAGAGCAACTGAGGGAGATCCTAGTTTAAATATGTAAGGGTACTTTAACCTTAGAACCACCGTGTGCACTCCGCAACCCTTACCATCTGGTCTGCCTCGTTGCTTTTTTTGTGGTGGGGGGTGTGGGTGATGAGGCTATTTTCTTAGTTATCATATTTCAATGCCAGCTGCAAAAAAATCACGGGGGGGGGGGGGGGGGGGGAAAAAGGGCTTGACCTGCTTGTGTTCTGCACTAAATGTATATTACTAAAAATAGTTATATGGATTTTATTTATATGTTTACCTTATTGTGAGGGATAGCTACTTAATTAATGAATGAATTTTCCAAACACACAAGAATTTTAAAGGGTCCATCACTAAAAACCCTCCAAACATTATTTTATACGCTAAGTACAAATGGAAAGAAACAAAAGCTTACTTATAATAATTAGACCAAGTTTTCTAAATCTTTCCAAATTTTAACAGAATCAATAATACGACAAAATTGTTAATTAGAAAGGTATACATATTTTTATAGGTTTTTATAAATCGTATTAAAACGGCAGAGCTATTATAAGAAGACATTGATTGTTCAGAAAAGACATTTTATATATATTTATTAATGTTTGATTTTATCCAAGGGAAATCGCATTCAAATAAAGTATATATTTTCAAACATTCAGTTGATTAAAAGTTTTATGTGTAATTTCAAAACACTTTCAATTTTTTTTTAGATACATTACAATTTTTTTTTAAACTAAATCCACAGAATTTATTTTACATTGAAAAAGTTAAGAATAAGAATTTTTTCCAAAACCAGAACCGTTACCAAAACTGTTTTGATAGAAATAACAAGCGAAAGGTTAGTTTAAAAAAAAAATTCTTTAGTTTTCTGATAGCCATAATAATGATGAAAGACATCTTGAAAAAAAAAACATGAAAACAAAAAAATCGTTGAAATCAGTTGTGCATAATGAATATATTATGCTTCTTTTTTAAGCTCTGATTTGCAGGAATCATTGCTACACAAGTAGCACATTAGAATAAAAATCCAACGCTTTTGATATAATAATTTATTAAATGTACACTTTTTTGTATGCGGGCATTAAATTCTTAATTTTAAAAAAAAACACCAAAAAACACATTTTTTTTTTAAAGTTTCCATTTATATAACTCAATACTCATGGATCCATTAAATGTATTTATTTTTAAAGACAAATGACATAATACAATGTATAATTAGCACCCATCTCTACTTTAGAATTGATGCTTTTATGACGAAATATGATTTGAAAATTGATTGCGCATAATTGAGACTGAGCAAGCACTTATTATCAATATTGTAGACCTTTTTATTGATGTAAAGGTAATTAAATACATTGTTATGAAAATATTTTAAAATACCGATACGTTAATTATTATGCGAACTAGAGGAAGTAAGGCATCAGCTTATAATTTGGATCGGCCAGTACGATATTATTAATCAAATACTGTAAGCCTTTGATGAGATGAAGCGCATTTTTCAAATAAACTTTATTATTATTATTATTATGCACGGATTATAAAATATATCTAACCAAACGAAATTTTTATTGATTCCACTAATTGTAATAAATTAAAGTGACCAGATACTATTATTATTTTTTTTTTAATTTTGAAAAGAAAATGTAAATGAAAATAATATGAATACTGATATGTAGTACAAAATAAAGAACTTGAACACCTTATATTTGATACCAAAAAAAAAAAAAATTAATTTTTTTTTTTAATTTTGAAAAAAAAATGTAAATAAAAATAATATGAATACTGATATGTAGTACAAAATAAAGAACTTGAACACCTTATATTTGATACCAAAAAAAAAAAAAAATTAATATTATTATTAAAGTTTATTATTAGGCAGAGATAATCCTGCTATACAAAAAAAAACTATTTTTGAGATAGAAAGATGTACCATGAGACACACATAAAGCTATGATATCACTGTATGGTACTCTATATAGATGGTAACAATGGTACTTTGAGACAAACGTGTGAAATTTGTTTTCCCAGAGGAACGGTATAAATTGTGAATTGAAAATTGGTGTCTGCAAAGAATGAGTGTTGAATATAACATAGATTAATGTGATTAATTATAACATACACTAATGTGAATAATTATAACATACACTCATGTGAATAATTATAACATACACTTATGTGAATAATTATAAATTACACTTATGTGAATAATTATAATATACACTGATGTAAATAATTATAACACACACTAATGTAAATAATTATAACACACACTAATGTAAATAATTATAACACACATAAATGTAAATAATTATAACACACACTAATGTAAATAATTATAACACACATTAATGTAAATAATTATAACATATACTGATGTAAATAATTATAACATACACTAATGTAAATAATTATAACACACACTAATGTAAATAATTATAACATACACTAATGTAAATAAGTATAACACACACTAATGTAAATAATTATAACACACACTAATGTAAATAATTATAACATACACTAATGTAAATAATTATAACATACACTAATGTAAATAATTATAACATACACTAATGTAAATAATTATAACACACACTAATGTAAATAATTATAACATAAACTAATGTAAATAATTATAACATACACTAATGTAAATAATTATAACACACACTAATGTAAATAATTATAACACACACTAATGTAAATAGTTATAACATACACTTATGTAAATAATTATAACATACACTAATGTAAATAATTATAACATACACTAATGTAAATAATTATAAATTACACTAATGTAAATAATTATAACACACACTAATGTAAATAATTATAACATACACTAATGTAAATAATTATAACACACACTAATGTAAATAATTATAACATACACTAATGTAAATAATTATAACACACACTAATGTAAATAATTATAACATACACTAATGTAAATAATTATAACATACACTAATGTAAATAATTATAACATACACTAATGTAAATAATTATAACATACACTAATGTAAATAATAAGGTAAAGACAAGTAAAATATATTTATTACTGTCACTACTGAAAACGTTGTTACTTTATCTATCAAATTTTTTGAAATGATTAAAGCTATAATTTTGTTGAATAGCTCTGTACTATTCGAACGATGTACATAACTAACATTTTTAAAAAAAAAAATTAAAATTATTTTTAAAATAAAATTGTGTTAAAAATTTTAACGTGAGTATAAAAGATAAATAGTATGATTGCCTTTGATTATGATTAAATATAAATAAAATACATTAACTGGTATAAAGTGGTAAATGAAATAGATTTTTCAATGAAATTTTAATGTAATGGTAAATTAAGTTATGAAGTTTTCTATGCACTTTTTAAAAAATTTTCATGGAATTTTTTTTAAAAAATCATTTGGGATGGGACGTGTAACGTCTCGTTTGTTTTTTTGGTAATCTTGAAAGGGACGAGAGTAGATACAGAAGAAATATCAGTTTAGGGCACCCAGGTTCGTTAGAAGTGAAAGATTTTGAATGAAGGAGAGCATACTCATGAAAACTATTCTTGAGTTTTAAAGGAGCCAACATATTATTTTTATTGACTGTGAGTAAGACAATAACAAAATGTGTTGTGCCAAAACATAAATTCGCACTCTCATTGTGGAGGTGAGCATCCCGTGTGAGCCGTGTGTGATGGGAGGGTTCTACAGTTATAGAAATAGAAACAAGAAGTGATTATAACAATGCAATGCATTTACCAAAACCCACAGCAGTTACGCCTACTATATTATTTAGGGTAGCTGAAAATTAGCATGTAGCTACAATGGAAATGGTTATTTAATTAGATCATGCACCGATAATATATTGGGTAGCTGAATGGTGTGGTATTATCTTAACAGATAGGGATGCTCATTATTATCATTTACTTACAATAGATTCGGTAACTCAATATTATAGCGTACATACAGTAGGGTAGCTAGATCTAATTATCAAAATGTACTCGCAATAGTTATGATAGCTCAAAATTATCATGTAATTTTCAAAGCATAGATTTGTCCAATCATAAACTAACATTAAAATAAATAGGGTAGCTCAATTTTATTAAAATGTTAAATAGTTACACGCAGCGTATAAATGTGTATGATCAGTGTTTACTTATTTATGAGAAAATAAACTATTAGTGTAAATAATAACCACCCAAAAATAAACCAATAATACATTTATATAATATTCCATAGACAATCTAAGGAATATAGTTTTTTTTTGGTTAAATTACGGGGAGCTTTGGGCATTAACATATTAATGTATGTCTGTATGGCATTGTGTACTTAAAAAAAAATTTCTCACCTGTACCAGAACAGAGTCAACACGACAGATATTATTATAACCAGGAAGTACAGTTTTTTGTCCTTTGGAAGCATTATTTTTCCTGTGTGGAGGGGGGGAAAAAGAAATAAAGGCTCCTTAGTAAAACATGATAAATATATTATAGTGAACGTGTACGGTAGATCGATAACTTAAACCAGCAGCAAGCCAACAACGGCCCGTGGGACACATCCGGAAGGAGATTTTTTACGGTATTGCGTCAGTGATGTCAATGGGGATTTTCTCATAACAGTATTTTTTTTTAAAAATAAACAAGGAACCTAATGATCTAAAGGATTAACAAATCAATCCCTCAACATACATTGGATTTTATGAAATTATGGTACCTCTCAATGGAATTTGCAGTACTAATTGACACGTCTGCCAGGAGGCCACACTGAAATTTGCACAATCCTGTTTGTCTTTAAAACAAGGCAAGACCTTCTTATCGGCCCCTGTGGAAGAAAAAAATGCTGCGCATGACTGACTTCAAACCTGATTAATAAAGTGATTATGTGAACCTGCACTTTTTTTTTCTCTTGTCAGCTCCAGATCCGCTTCGTCTCCGCTCTATGCTCCAGAAAAATTCAAAAGTGGGACGGGGATAAAACGCGGGTGGTAACTGCTCAAATCAATGTGTTCATTATTGCCATACATTCATCCAACTAAATAGGCTTTAGAAACGCATTTAACAGCAGCACCTCGGGTAGACGAATATGGCAACATAGCCGTAGAAGAATGGAGCAACACATCTAGTAGAAGACTGGGGCATCATAAGTGACATAAGACTGGGGCAACATACGTGTTAAGGGGGCAAAAAAGCTAGTAGAAGACTTGTGCAAGATAAGTGGTAGAAAACTGGGTCAACGTAAGTGGTAGAAGACTGGAGAAACATGCGTGGTAGAAGACTTGGGTGGCTGAAGAGTTGAACAGCATAACTGGTTAGAGAGTGGGGACTACAGTGTTTTATTATAGAATGGTAAGATATTTTTGTAGTGTGGGGCAACATTACATTGCAGAAGAGTGAGGGGTACTATAACTGGTAGAAGAGTGAGGTAACATATCTTGTATATTAAAAGGGCATCAAATGAAACATCTTGACAAAATTTACTCCAAAAATGTCAGCAAGGCTTCCGAGTCAATAGATAATGTAAAGCCCGTGTCCTTGAGTTTGTAGAAGACTTGATGACTAGTCTGGAGAACAGCAAGCAAACTAATGTACTTTTGATAGACTTTTCAAAGGCCTTTGACCGTGTCAGTCGTGGTTTACTTGTAAACAAACTGTAGAGACATGAGATCCAAGGTACTAACAAACATGGATCCCTAGCTTCCTCAGCAACTGATGCCAGGTAGTAATGGTAAACGGTACAAGCTCCTCTTTTGTCGATGTTAAGTTAGGGGTCCCCCCGGGCTCGGTGCTAGTTCCCTGTTTGTTCCTAGCATACATCAATGACCTAGCCAAAAAACTTACATCTTACGCTAGACTATTCGCAGATGACGCGGCGGTGTATAGAACGATCACGAACAGTTCTGACCAGGACCAGTTACAACAAGATTTCAGTGGATTAGCTGAGTGGGAGATGAGCTGAAACAAGGAATTTTATCCAGCCAAATGACAGACGCTGTCATTCTCTAGAGGTTGTACTACTCTACACCACCTTTACGATCGGCATTGCCATATAATTGAGCTAGTTTTTGCCGTAAGGAACCTCGGTGATACCATTTAAAGAGATGTCAGCTGTAACGAGCATATTTACAATGTGGGCAACCAGGCAAACAAGACCATAGGGTTCCTAAGGCGAAATCTAAAGATGTTAAAGAAAGAGCCTATGAAGCCTTTGTCAGCCCGCTTTTAGAAACCTTATTTTCAGCCTGCGTTCTATTTACCCAGAAGAACATCGACAGAAAAACATGGGGGTTGTCCAAGCGACGGGCAGCACGCTTCGTCCTGAACGGCTACAGGAATAACTGTGTTGGCAGCATGCTGGAAACACTAGTCTGGTCACCATTGGAGGAATGCTGCCGAATATTCAGACTGTCTATAAAATACAAGATAAAAAATGGACTTGGCTACTACTCCAAGATTAAACAGAAACTCGTCCCTCTCCCCGATAGACAGCGACCAGGCAATGACAGGAAATTCCTGCTCATACCAAGAAAGAAGCCAGTACAGGAACTGCTGAATTCTGACAATGACAATCACGAACTGTAAGAAACTTCAAAAAGGAACAGTTGAGGCAAAAACACTTGAAACATTTGCGTCTATTGCCTCAGACCTTCAAACCACCAGTTCATGATACCGTCACTGTGTAGCCCTTGCAACCAGGGAAATATGCTGGTCCACACCAGGAATAGAAATATTGAAAATCCCCTCCGCATGCATAGGAGCCAGAATGATCAATAAATAGATTGTGGGCCCTTAATATATAGAAGAAAAAGATTTTAATAAATTAAAATTTACAAATTATTCTTTTTTGTATTCAATAAATTTGTTTAACAATTGGAGCTGTAAGAAAGCTAAACCAATTCAAGCTCCTATCCAGTTTCGGGTTAAAAAAAAGTTTCTCCCAGCTCTGCTTCAAGACCATGATTTAATCAAAGTCCCCATAAACCGTTTTAAGAATAATCTAATGAGCGGTTCTCACCTTTTTATCGTCGAAGAGCTTCTCAACTTTTGTCAATTAATTATTTAGAATCTTCGATTCATATATTTTTAGTTGACAGCTTATTTAAGGAAATATAAAGGCCATTTATGCGCTGCCTCAATTACAGGATTAGTATTTTATAAGTGTACAACTTCTGTCAGAGACCCCACTCCCTGTCTTTAAAAGTTTTAAAACTGCTTTCATCACCAGAAACTGCAATGTCATTCAGTCACGGCGATATCCAAAATATTGGTCCAATTCAAGAGACCACAACTATTCATCCAAATTCACTGATATTAACGTATGCTTTGCTTTTGAAAGCTTTTGAGAAGTTACATTTCACCCAATTCACCTGATGACGCTTTGAATGGGATGATTTTTTTTAGAAAAGGCTGTTATTTTTTAACCAAACTAACAGCAAATTAATGAATCAATCAGAAATATTAACAGTTTTGTTTTCCGACGATTGAAACAAACCAAAGATCTGATATTCACATGTTACGCTCTAGATCTATACCCCTTCTGATACTACTGTCAAGGCCTACGCTAAAAAGGCAGGCTAGATCACAGTACGTGCAGTTAACCGGAACGTTGACAGCAACACTATGTGTGAAGGAAAATAGAACAAACCCTGAATTTCTTATTTTATACACGGGAAACGTAACTTTTCATCTGTTATGGTCTGCATTCCATTTGATTGAGTGCTATAAGTTACACTAATTAAATAATCGCCTTACAGATTGTGTGCTTGCATTAGTGTCAGAATTGACATACAAATGTGTTATCTGGCATTTTAATTTATTTCATTAATAGCATAAAATAAATTGTGAGATATGTCGGGGACAATCAAATTTTTCTTTTATAATGCGACAAATGATACATCATCAGGTAGAATTAAAATACCATGGAATACCTCAAAACTTAAAAGCTGAATACAAAATGGAGCTTACAAAGAAGTGATGGAGTTAGAAAATGAGTTTCAAAATGAGACAGATCTTAATCTGAGATTAGACATATTAGATTGAGAAAAGACAGTCAAAGAAGGAAAGAGAGTAGTCCAATAGAAGAGAGAGAAGAGTGATGAATCAGTTGCAAAAAAAAAAAAAAAAAAAAAAAAAAAAAAAAAAAAAAAAAAAAAAAAAAAAAAAAAAAAAAAAAAAAAAAAAAAAAAAATAAAAGAGAAACTGTAGAAGATAGAAATTAAGAGATTAGAATTAACAATGCCACTACTACAAAACACCAATATAAGCAGAGGAAACAAACCAGAACAATCAGGGCTCAATTCCCTTAATGTACTAAATCCATCTGTCAGATATACAGAACAATTTTGAGTTAGCATGAAAAATTTTTTTTAAACACAATGCTATTTTTTATATTTTTTTTTTACAAATAATTAACAAAATGGAATATAAAGTGGAACAATTATCGGTGTGACAATGTCAGCTATAGGCTTGGAATGTGGAACCAGTTTCAGTTGTGATTGTATCAGCTTGAGACTCATTAGCATTTATACAGAACATAGAAAGACTTGGTTATGAAAAATTGAAACAATGTCATTTTTCGTTATGCATAATACCCGTGATTTTAATATGGACATTCACAATAATTAATACGTGTCAGAAAATCTAGAGATATTTGGAATTATATGACTATTAATTCCTATTAAAATTCCATGAGAATATATTCTTTTCTTGTATACTTTTAATCGATAATTTTATCAATAAAATCCTGATGCAATGTCAGCGGTCTCCGTTCATTGCGTCATTCCTCTCTCAATTCCAAAACCAACTCCCCATTCTTCAACCAAAACTCTAACTGGCCAAGTTCCTCCCAGGTACCAAAACTCTGTATTTTATGCAAAGAAATCTTGGCCATATTAGTTGTCTCCCTTTAGAGTTCACACATTCACATCTGTGACACAGCTCTTAAGAAACTTCAACATTGCTGAAGGAATTTTATAGGAAAAGATGTCATCAAATTGATTTCAAGCAAACTCGCGACCCACAAGCATGGACTAACAATGTGTTAGCGGACCTCAAATCATGGATGAATCTAACTCAAATTGATAAGGAGTTGATTTTTTGTTGTTGTTTTTTTCTGTAACTGACAAGGTCCATGAATTGGCAGGTGAGGGTCTGCATTACTTGATAAAGAAAAGAAAATAAAAACTAAAGAAATTAAATGGATCGTTTACTGCAATTTTAGATAATAAAGCTAGCCATCCGAATGAAAATTATCCACAAAAAAAATGATCATGAGAATATGTTACGTGCCATTGGGAAGCCATATGAGGTATAGTAGTTTTAGCAGATCGAATCAAGTTCACTAATACGAACAGAAACAATCCCACTAGAGCGTTTAGTTAATGGGTGCGTGGAAAGCGGGGTTACTTAGAGTTA